GGGCAATCTTTGTCTAATGGTGGATCAAATGCCTCCACATCTGTACAAATTGACAATTCTGCAATGTCAGTCACTGATGGTAGTTCCTGTAATGGATCTGGAATTTTAGTTTTTCAGCAGAAATCAACTAATAGTATTAATAATGTTACATCTGCAAACGTTCCAGTTTTGGTAGGAATTATACACAGATTTACATTGTACATTATATTATATTTTATTATAATAATTTTACATATTTTTTTGTTTATAGCAAGCTCAACTGCAAGCTGGAACACAAAATTGTGTTACGGAAACCGTTAACCAGAGCCAAAATGAAATACCATTTAAGAAACATTCTACCAATCCAGCGATAACGGCTCTTGTAACATCTCTCATGAATTCTGCTCAACAATTTCAACAGCAAGCTGCAGGTTTGTTATAATACAAATCGTAATACAATTAATTTAACATAATATAATGTAACATAAACTGTAATACAAAATAAATACTGAAAAATAAGTACTTTATTCAACATTGTTACAGCAAATGCAGCTGCTGCTGCTATGAATAGTAATGCACAGACTACAAACAAGTCAAATAATGCTGCGATCCTTAGTTTGTTAAATAGTAGTCCTGCCAATTTGACACAACAGAAAGTCCAGCCACGGAGGATTTCTTTAAATGCTTCCATCCCATCTAGAGTCTTTAGTCACGGAAATGTTATTAATGTCCCTAATACGACTGGTCAAGTAAGACAATTAAATTCGTATTCACGCATTTTTAAGATTATTACGAAATATTAAGAAATGTATTTTTCAGGTAAGAGTAAGTTTAAGTTCAACTTTAACAGGACAATTAAGTTGCAAGCAACAACCAGTAAAAGCAACAGCCGTGAAATTAGCTCGCGTACAAGATCCCACTTCAACACTTGGATTATCCATGTCAGGACTTTCAGCTTTATTAGCAGGTATATTCTAAAATAATATATAGATTTTGTAATTAATGAATTTATTATTTTTATTTCATTTCAATTGAGATGTTTAAGTTGATATTATATGTTGGTTTTATTAAAATAACATATTATCTTATGTTAATAGGAACACCATCTGCAGATAATCCAATACCAGGAATTAATTCTGGTTCTTCTCTACTTGAACGATTAACTGCTTCTTCCAGTCAAAACAATCAATCTGGGACGTCAATGACAACCCCACCATCTACCAATGTTAACCTACAGGGCGTAAATCTTACTAGTCTGTCGAATTCCATCAATGGTCTCCAGAATGTTCAGGTTGTGGAGAGCTGCTTATTTCTACATATGGCGTAGAAGATGAAATACTACTGTACTATTCGTTGTACGACAGGTATCATTTCCCGGATTATCACAACCCATTACGATGTCGCTAAATGTGTCAGCGACGACGGGTTCCGTTACACCTACAGGGGTCATTGTTTCTCTGCCTATATCATCTGCAACTAATACTTGCACCACGGTTTCTAGTGTTAGTTTTTTTTTGTATTCCACGCATCTGCACTCTTTGATTGATATGATATAAAATATATAAAAATATTCTAGAATATTAATTTATGTTTTTAGATGGTAGCTACTACAGTTGTTACAACAGCTATTGCTGGAAGTACACCAACGGTAGTAATAGCTAATCCTGCCAATACTCATTTATCATTACCAATTGGTAAGAATGATTTTTTTCGTTTTTAGTAATTTCAATACTATTTTCATATTAAATTATTTTATTTAATATATTAACGTTTGACCTAAAAAGATAAGTAAATGTTCTATGTTTATACAAATTGAATAATTATGATATATACAATAATTTGTATTTTATTATAACATAAATGTTGTAGCCCAAATAATACCTTCTGCAGTCAAGGGATTATCACAACAAAACATACGTAGTAGTAATTCTGTTACCCTTGCACAGGTATATATAAATTGCATTATATTTAAATTTGAAAATTATAATTTAATATAATCTAAAAATGTGATAAATGTTGCTCCTTAGGGTGGACAAGCAATTCAACTTGTTGGATCTCAAAGGCCACGACTTAATCATATAACTCGTCAAGTACAACCAAATCAAGTGAAATCAACTGTTTTGTCAAATCAATTAGTAACTGTGGCTAAAACAGTAACAGCAAGTCAGTTAATACTATCTGGTAATAAACAGGTCTTAACTCCTATAATGGGTAAGTTATTATAGCTACCATGTTACAGTATATTATTTAAAAAAAAAGTATTAAAATAATAAAATTGAAACAAATTATTTTTAAAATTTTACGTTTATGAGAAATATTTTTACATAGATTTAATATAAAAATTAATTTTTTTTTAATAACATTCCTGTTTTCAACAAATAAAAAATCAAAATAGTGTTATTTTTTATAGCAGCAACAAAGCCAGTGCTTATGGCGTCTCAGACGACACCTTCTTCCCAAGTAGTACCTGCAAATAAACAAACATTATTGACAAAATCTTTGCATGCTAGAGCTTCTACAGGGCAGTGCAGTCAACAAACTCAAAATCTTGGTGTAGCAACATTATCACAGCAACAAGTATGTACTTTCTTATTAGTAGTACAAATTTTTAATTAAAAAAATAAAAGTATATATTATAACACATAACATTATAGATAGCACAATATAATAAAAAAGAATATATTATTTTGAATCTATTATAATTAAAATCATAAATACAACTCAAGCTGTTCATTTTGTAGTTACAGAGAACTCTTGTCAAACCTGTACAGCTCCAACAATTACAGTGTTTAGCTACACAACATAAAATAGCGGTTGCAACTGGCAATTCGCAAAATAGAACTCAAATCGAATCTCAGAGAAATTCTACGTCTGCTCCTGGGGAAGACCCAGCCTGAACATGTTCAAATGATTAATATTTCATCACATTTAAATAATTGGAGCCTGCCTATAAGGAATGTAATGAGGTGTTTATATATTAAGTTAACATGACATTTAAAAATTTTATTTATGCATGCAATTATAATTGTAAATTATGAAATTTTTATTCATGAACGATCGATGTTTATCAGCAAAGACATATTTTATAAAAATCAGCATAGTATATACTTGTGCGTATGTGCAATAAATTATTTCTAAAAAAAAAAAAAAAAAAAAAAAAAAAAAATGAAAAATGAAAAAAACATTTACCTCAAAATATTACTTTGAGGGCGGTTTCAATTATTGTACATATAACTTATACATACAATATGATTTGTTTTATATTAAAAAAAATATAATAAATATTCCATTTTTTTATTGACCTTGACCCTTTTTTTATATTATTAATGTTTATTTCGCATAAAAATATTTTCTGATATACATTTTTTGCTAAGATTATAAATTAATGGCACTTAAATTCGCTAATTTCATTCAACTTACGCTTATACTTATATACTTAATACATCTATACACATACTCATCAGTACTTCCAATTTTGTTTTAACAATCTTCCATATCTAATAATCATAAGCGTAGAATATACAGAAAACTGTGTTTCAATATTTTCATTTTATTAATCATATACATTATTAAAAAATCTTAATCTGGTATATAAATTGTATAACTACTTTGAATAATTTTCAGAATTATAAATACTGAAACAGTTTTTAGAACAATTTCTTATAACTTAAAGCATAAAATGTTATTCACAATATTAGCAATTGTCAAAAAATGTAAACTATTAGTTTCATAACAAGGTATTAAAAAAGATGTTAAAAAGTGAAACAATAAGTTAACATGTTACAAATATTTCATGCTAATTAAAGATTAATCTTGAAATTAAATTATATATAGTTATCATCATCATAAAACATCTTTTGCATACAATTTGAATAGGTTAAATAATAGTAACCAATATTATCTTTTAAATATATACAAATTGATAATATACAATACATACATCTTATTCATATACTAAGTCAATATATCAATGTATGATACATACACATTATATACAACTTTTACAATCAACATTTTCTTTCTCTAGCTCTTTATATTAATAACATACATTAACGTACAATTAAATATATAACTTGTGCTTTTTAATAATTATTGCTAAAAATCGCTTATTACATAATAGTATATATTTAGCCTGATATTTTTGTCTGATAGGAGATTGTCCTACTCGTTAATCATAATTAATTATCCTTAGCAGTGATTACGACAATAATAAACACTAGAAAATTTTATATATTAGTTGGCATTCAGTTCCAGCTGTATGCAATTAACAATTTTATTTTTCCTATTCTTTTAATTTAAATAATTAATTTCATTATTTGTTAAAATATTTATTGCAAACGCATATTCATCGTCTAAATAATTTGATAATGGTTTATATATATTTACTGATATATCTACATAATATAGAAAATTAAATTCCTCTTTATTTTAAAATAAAAAGAAACAAGAGTATAAAGAAAAATAACAACTCTCTTGTCTAGAAATATTGTACTTAAGATATAAAACAATAATTCAACGTGAAATTAGAGATAAATGTCTTTTATGTGCACTTCCATTATAATCAGTCTCTTCTTTTGGAGATCTACCCATGCTTGACTTGCAAGTATGTAATAACAATGTTAAATATTTCCTACCGGAAAGTATTAATAATAAAATACTGTGTATGCCTGTTGAAGATACTATTTTTATATTTATATCACATTTTTATATGTTGCTTGTATTGTATCTTTGATTTATCAGTGCATAACACAGGCTATAAGTTACAACTTTCGTTTCATAAAAGTGTTTCCATTTAAACTTAAACAACGTATTCTTTAAACATTATAAAAAGATATTAATATTGAGCAATGATACTAATTCTCTCTATAATATTACCAATATCATTAACTGCAAAAGTATGCACATACTTGATAATATAATTGACTATAAATAGTTTCAAATGTAACATATATACATGATACTCATAATGTATCTCAATTGTCATAAAAAAAATCTATTTTACTTAAAATTTTTAATAATGGTTAATCTATTTCTGATCTAAAATTTGGTGAGTTAGAAACTTTCATTGTTTGTACATCTTTGCTTATTTCCCATTCGCTCTCTGGATTAAAAGATGTATTTAAAATTCCCAAAATATCATCTTCTAAAGACATTTCTGATAAATTTTCCATGCTTTGCTGACTTGCATCAGTATACAGAGATTCTGTTACAACTAAAAAACAATTTTTTTTGTTTTACATGTAATTAATTTATACAATACATACACAGGAATTGGTAATTAAAACAGATTACCATCATTAAGTGTATGCTGTGATAACCATGTTGGTTCATCCCATTCATCAAATTGTAACTTTTTATTATTTTCGATTTCTTCAATAGATAACATTGCATGTGATTCAGAGTCTGTAACATCGAATATTTCTGTCACTTGCACTTTGTTATTATCATCCATATAATAGTATGCCATTACAGCTTCTTGATCAGAAGTTACCTGTACACATAAAAAAATTAATTCTATTTTTAAAAAATTCACATATACATTTTATATTCAAATTTATTAATAAGTAGAATGATTTATAAATTTATTAAGATTTTATTATATACCTGAAGGATATTTTCAAAAGTATTATCAACCGTTGATAAATTCGACATATTTATAACACAATTTGGTGTATTATTATGTTCCTCCCATGGTTGTCTAGAAAACATAAATTAAGACAATAAAAATTATATTAATTAATTAAAAAATTTCTAATTTAAAAAAGTTTATAAGCTTACAATTCATTGTATTGTAATGTTAAATTTAGATTTTTCTTATTTTTATATAAATTATCAGTCTTTTCTTCTCCTTCCATATTATATATATCTGAAAAATTTGATATTAATACACTTTCTATAACTGATATAAAGTACATAAAATATTTTATTTACTTGAACCATATTCTGTAATTGCTAATTGGCATTTAATAGTCGGTGGTACTTGTTGATAATACACATTAATTTTAGGAAATAGCATACTTAATTGGTCCAAGAAAAATGTTCTTAATTCTAATAGATTTCTTCGTAACTTAGGTACATTTAAAATAAATCTGGAAATAAAATGAAATATTAATGATTTGTTAATAATTGTCAATAGATGAAAAAAATTTATATAATATAAAAAAAAAAATTACAAAAACAAGAAGTTAAAACTAAGTTAAAGCTTTTTTTAGATTTAATATATGTAAACATACACACAACTTAGAACATGTATGCATAAATGTGTATTATATATAGATATATGAATGTACAAACAAATTTTATAGAATTTTTATTTATATTAATAAAAACTTTATTTATAGCAATACTAAAACTTTTATTATTTAATATTTTAATATGCAAATGAATCTCTTTTCAATTTATATATTCCTTAATTTCATTTTTTATAACTGATTATTTGGATAATATAAAAATACTTTCATACAACAATACTTAAGAAATGCAAAGCTTGTTTTATACAGCAAAATTAAAAAAAAATGCAAAGCTTACCGAGAATGTGTCATATGTTTAGTACAAGGAATCATCTGTGAAGGTGTATGGAGAATATTGCCAATTACATTGTATTCCAAGGTGTGACTTTCTATCTTGTTACCAATCAGACTATGATCACATGCATAATGTTAAATATGAAGTTACATTTAATGATATCAAATAAATGCAAAAGAACACAATATATGAGTTTAATCAGATAGCTAAATATGAAGCAAATTAAACTATATTTCATTAATTGAAAATGTCTGATGGTAAAAATTTCAATACATATTATATATATTGAAACTTAAAGCAGTATTACATACAGCAAACTTTAAAACATACAAGCTTACTTTTGAATAACTTACTAAATATAAGAAGTATAAATCTATTATTTACACAATATGTTTGTATCTATATTTATTGTTAATTCTATAATTATATATAATTCTAATTGGGTTATTATTTTAGGAGCATGCAATTTTAAACAAGTAATAGTTCATGCATATCAATCACTTATTCCATTAGTCTACATAACTACATAACTACATCAAACTACATAAATATTTAAAATACTACATGTGAGAAAAATATTATATGAAAATATCATTAAAAGGAAAAACCAGATAATACAATGTATAATAAAGTACTTACTTTGTAAAAGTTGCATATACTACATCTGCTGGCAATGTACATGGTAAACTTAGCAATGACAAAAGTTTTACACTTCGATGTTTAAATAACCAGTTGATTAATCCTTTATTAGCAGAATCAATTGCATCTTGAAATATGGTCATAACTGTTTCAGGTAAATTAGATACTAATGCTTCCTATAAAATATACATCATATATAATAATATACAGAAATATTTATATTATACAATTAACATTTATATTTTGTGTTCATAGCCTATCACCTGTCTATGAATTTTACATTCTAAACATTCAGGATCATAATCCATATTGTCATCAAGAGTTTCTGAGACAACAAATGTGGATTGTACTGCCAAACATCGAGTACAATTAAGTAAGTTATTACGATGAAGAAATCTTAATGCATCATCAAATCCTTGTTTGCACATATTTGAAAGTATCTGTAAAATAGTTAAAATTATTTATACTATTAATTTTCAAATTTTACGTATATAGAGAGTATTATCCAAATTTTTATTTATAATTTATTGTTAATAAAAGAATGAAATAAATATAAATGAATTCTATATATAAGATTTATTGAATTATTATAAAGATTTACTCATCCCTTCTTTTAATATTATGTGCAAACTAAAATAAAATTGTATAAAAAAGATATCTGTATTATAAATAATTAATATATTTTTACCTCTGGATTTGGTGGAAAAAGTATCCTTGCAAACCTATATATATTTTGTCTTGAAAGTTCTATACTTGTATTTGCAAAGTTGACCTACAAATCATAAATGTTAATTTATTACAGTTTATATGTAATTTAATAATCTAGTTCTTTAAAATACTAATTTCTCTACTAATAATCACGTAACTACTTCACCGATTGCTTCATAAATTTAAATTCAATTTAAATTAAGTTATTCAAATAATTACTTTTCAAGATACAACAAAGTTTATTACAAAATACAATTGTCCCTCGAAATAAGTGTTTCTGATTATACACGATTTTTTTATGTTCTTTAACACTAGATTTACGGACGCTATCTGTATAACTATTTCTAAGAACACCTGTCAAATTGACAGGTAAAGGAAACCACGTGTCTTTTCTTTTTAACGATTAGTTTAATTTAAAAATAATTATATATTATATTAACAGTCTTAATATAAGTTAACTAAATCTGTTGCCATCGTATAATTGGCGCAACCCTTCCGTCAAATTGACGGGTTCCGTAAATCTAGTGTTAAAGTTGCCACTACTATTTTCGTTCGATTTTATCTAATGCAAACCTAAATCACTTACAACTTAATAAATGAGCTCCATCAACATTCTTGTGCATCAAAATCCTTTATGAATCGATTCTCTAACAATGTTCCACGAATATATTAATACTAGGTATATTTTCTATACTTTTTCAATGTTGATACGACATTTATTATACATTCTCTATCAATAATTCTTCAACAACTATAGAAAAGATATTAAAACAGCGTGCTAATTTGTATTTTAATGTTACACTTATAAAATCTATATTTAATATTTAATGATATCCCTTTGTTGAGGGACGATGATTTAATTGCTACTACCGGAAATCATTGAAACTTTCTGTTTCATTTTGTTACCTATGATTTTTTAGATATACGCACATATATGTACGCTACACACGCGCGCGCGCACACACACACACATACTTCAAGAGACAATTATATATTCATTATCAAATATATTCATTATATCAACCTACATGAAAAAGCTGAGAAGAAACATCTCTAGGGCAAATATCACTTTCTCCACAAAAGGGACTAACAGTAATAGTATTTTCATCAAGTGTCGGAAGATTATCACTAAAGCCACCATCCATATACCTAACACCATGAAATCTTGGTGGTAAAAGACCAGAAAAAATTGGAACAAATGCACTGGCCAATAATGCCTATAAAAATGAAGATTCAATGTATTTTAGTCCTACATTAATGTATATTCAAAAATTATATAAAACTACAATAAGGACGATAAATATAATATAATATATAATTTTATTTTGTTCATACAAATTGAAAAAACTTCATTGTTTATTCTAAAATGTTATCTGGATAATATTGTATATTATAAACGTAACAAATTCATGAATGCACATTGTAATATATTATTATTAAACTAAAAGAAATATTATCACAAAAGTATGAAAAACGAAAATAGACATGAATACTACGTTACCTGCAATAAGTCTTCCCTGGATGAAAATTGTGAAATAATTACGTTTTTGCCATCATACACCCTCGTTAAGGAAATATGCAGTTTTCCGCTCACGCGAATATGAGCATCGTTAGGAAGAAACTGTAATAGAGATAATATTTCATTATATATTAAAATATTAATATCATAAATTGACTTTAAAAATATCTACTGTTTTACAATAATAACTTCAAAAAGTATAAATAATACATGTATACATTTGATAAGTATTATTTTTTAATATTTTTATAAAATTTAAATATCTACATTAATTTTAAGTTATTATTAATAGTATATACCTTCTGTAAACTTTCTAGTAGTATTTCTTGCACATTAAACAATGGACTAAATGGACCGAGTGTGCGTTGTCGTGCTTCACGGGCAACACGTAATACATTACTTGTTATCTCACCTATAAAAACATGTGTTCTTATAATAATTATACCAAAGAAAATCTAATAATACTGTATTAAAAAGATTATCAAAATTAATTTCATTAATTAAGAATAAAGTATTTTGAAATTCAATTTCATCGAAATTAAGATATTTTCTTTAAGTACAAATTGCTTGCTTGAATCGCATATTGATTATATAGTATATAGCAATTCGTTTTAATTGTACAAATTACATTACTTGAAAAAATACTAATCATATACGATATACGATTTTATTTGAAAATTTTATTCAGAAATAAATAAAATTACGTATAAGTTAGTTAACTTTAAACATATATCATTTCTAAGTATTCTAATAAAATTATTCATCATAGATAGCAAGCAATAGTTATGCATGATTTTTTCTCATTATAAAATGAGAAAAATAAATTTTGAGGTACTTGATACTTCAAGTTGAGAAAGTTCTAAAAGTTCTTTCTATTAGAATAGATATAAATATATGATGTATTCACAAGTTTCTGAATATTGACTAAAATAAATTTCCGGTTGTAAACAAAGTAAATTAAACTAATCAATTCAACCTGGAATTGCATTAATTCTCAATAAAGGAATAGTTTAGGAACCAATAATATCTATTAAAGTTAATACTAAACGTATAAGAATATTTGCTGGTACAACTATTCGATTATCTGTATTTAATAAATGAAATTGAATTATTGAAATATATGAATCAAATTTGATATTTAAAAATTCTCGACATTCATAAAATTAATATCATTGGTAAACGGCAAATGGCATTTCTATCTTTCAAATTCTATTTATACAATTTTTACTAAAGATCATTGAACATTTTCAATATTTTATTTCAAGGTATTTTTCGAAATAAATTCATAGTATTTTAAGTATCACGTAAAAAAAAGCAAAATAACTGTTCATGCATTTATCTTATCACGAATACTCGATATACTTTGATTGTATCAAAATTAAATTGATTATGATATATATCTATGAATATCCATACATAGATTTTGTGAAAGAAATACAATAGAATTATAAAAACTAAAAACATTATTTTGTATTCATTAATTAATTAGTATTATGAATTAATTAATTAATGCTATAAGAATCTATATTCTTTTTATATGAAAGTGTTATCCAAATTATACGATTTAACTTATGGAAATTTTATGATGAATGTTAAACACATTTGACAGTTCGTGATTGACATTATTAAGAATATCGCTTTACATGACACTATCATTACTCAATATTAAGTCTACGTCAATTACCTTGTTATGTTTCTTTCATTAGACATACTTATATCTATTACAAGCTCCCAATTACAATTAATTTAAAATTATATTCTCTGACGAAAAAGATAATGCCAAAAAAATATACGAAAAACGTTGCTTATAAAATTCTTATCCAATAAAATCAAATGTTTCACAATTTCTACCCTATTTTATTAATTTGTTATGTATTTTTCACAAACTATATATAGGATAATACACTTAAAATCACCACTTTGAATTATTCATAATGATAAACATAACCTCTTTTACATAAATGTAGATATTAAATATAAAGTCGATAACTATCGAAATAATTGATTTCACTTCAATCATTAATACAAAGTCCCAAAGACTAATACAAGATGTATTTTAATAAAACAAATACGAAAAATAATACGAAAAATATAAATAATAATATAATATGCATATTGTATACGTAGAACATCCTATGTTGAAATGGCGCTAATTTCAAGTACCTCACCTCGTATATGTTTAAAGTATCTTACAAAGAAAAACTAATTTTTACTTCCACATGAAACATGTAATTATGATGAAATTAAAAGTGAAAATGTGTCTTATAAGCAAACAGAAAATACTATATTGCCAACTCAGAATTGAATTAAAATGATAATGATAATTTCCTATGTTGGCCTATTTCAAAAGAAAAACAGGAAATAATTAACCGAAGACGTTACATTCAGTTCAATCTTTAGTGTAGTGTTTTTGATATTTGCTCTACAAATGCTACACAAATATATTATCAAACGTTTTTTAAATTGGTCAAAGAAGCACGACAAAATATCTTATAAGCTAAGGACCTTAAGCCTATGCAATCCATAAAAATGTACAACTTGAAATCTAAGATTTATTACACAATTTAAGAACCTACCTTCTTGAAACACTGTAAATTGGAATGCTGGATAGGACCCTTAATAACCCTATACGAAGAAAAACAAATTTTTTAAGCCGCTGGTCCACGATATAAAGTTTCGAGCGTTTTTACTATGTACTACCTGACTAAAATCCTTAATCTCAATATGGAGAAAAACAAAATTTTTTACATCAGTAATTTACAATATAAATATAATTTTATATGTGGTTAATGAAAATAAATGCTGTCATTTCGATTTGATAGATTTTGTAATATTTTGTAAAAAGAACTGGTCAACTTTCATCTGTATATGTATGTAGCTTATCACTTATCGCATGAGTCGGCATTGTCTTTCCACAAAAACAAATATTCCTTTGTTTGCTTAACATGCTACATCCTCTATTGATGTTACCACACCAGAAGAGAATAGTTTATTTTCTAATTAAGATATTTAAATCATGCTACTTCGACAGTAGACATCGTTTTCATATTAACTTTTTCAATGCAAAATTGCAATATTCCGTTTCAATAAAAAAAAAAAAAAAATGAAAAGGTCTTCTGCCATTTATTTTATAATTACTTAAAATATAATTGAAAAAAGTAAATTTTTATTTGAAACACATACATATCTAATGTTTACTTCTTATCAAAATTTATTGATTCGATTATTCCAGTATATGAAAAAAATTAAAATAATAGGGGATTTTGATTTTGTCGTAATAGAAAGATTAGCAACTGCATTTAATCCTTATATCAAATTATTCATCTACATTTACTGATATTATTTAGACTTTAACCATTCCTTCCATAATTTCAGATAATAAAAATGCTGAATAAAAAAAGATAAATTCACAATTGTTTTGATACTATCAAGTTGTTCGTGTATTTGATATAATCATTTTATATAATTTGCGATTACTAATGATAATTTTATTTATCAGAACTTAAGTTCTAGAAATAAAATTTTAAACGTCAACGTAATTGCAATTTTTACTTTAGTATAAATTATATAATTCGGATAAATATACAAATCTCGGCTGTTAATGTTAACGTAACATCAGTCATATAACTATAACAAGTAAGTTCATTTACATATTACTTATTTACATATCGAAAATGTAATACAAGAAGTGAATGTACGTAGAATACATGTAAAAGTATAATATAAATAAGTATCACTTTACAAATGCTTGACTTATATGATGATTACAATGATTTCTTAATTTATTCTTATATATTTACAAATGAATGCCAAATTCTTTCCTATATGCCCATATATATATATATATATATTGCTAAATATATTTCTTTTACAAAATATGCTTCGCAGTAGAGTTGTTTATCGCCTATTATATACGAACTAATATATACTCAGAATGCATGCTATGTAATTTATTGCATTAATCTGGATACGACCTTAAATTTGTTTTTTACTACTGGAATAACATTATGAAAACTTTTACGTCATAGATTATGTAAATGATTACAGGATGTTGTCGAGTATCGAACGACATAAATATCAACAATTTATTATTATACCATTCCACCTTTAGTTAAACTACGTATATACGTATACATATAAATAATCATTAAACATTCACTTCAATAATTAACATAATGAATGGGGAACTTCGTTAATTGATATTCCGAAGAGAATTGATTAGTTTAATATCTACTTTTTAAATATATATAATTATGTTAGTTACAAAATTTCGTTTTTAATTGAAACAATATTTAATTTTTAATCACATACACAAATTACATACAACATATAAAGCTTATTCGGATTGGAAAAGTTTAAAGCATAAATAATTATTTCTTATTAAAGATATTCTTAAATTATGAAACCTATCAACAAAGGAATTTGATAAATATAAAGTGATTACCTCATACAATGTATTTGAATCATCATTTTGAAACAATAGAAGAACAGCATCCGTCATTGTTCGTTCTTAATCAGTTTCTTTCACAATCCGGTATTAATTTATTGGTATTAAAATTAATTTATATATATGAGTGTGTGTTTTTAATCAATTATCATAATATATATTTAATGATGTTATTCGGTATATAACAGTACGGAAGTAAAGACGCAAGGAGAAATGACTGAACGATATTTTTATTTTGGTAAACATATACATATATGTATATTAAAAGAGATTAAATTTATCGAGTATAAAATATATTCAATGCAACAGATATATAATATATAGTATATTACATGTAATATATGAATCCAATTAAGTTTGCTTTATTTGATTTTAAATATTTAAAAACAAATCCTTACATCTGTATCCTTCTATTTTATTTATGTACCTTTTATGGGTCAAATATGTTTACATACATATAATAATCGATACAAAATATATTTACGCGCTTTTCATCTACATATATTACGTTTCAAAACATTTCTGAAATATTATTAAAATTCGAAAAAATTTTATCCTTGCGATCATTTTAAATCTCAGTATTTAAAAAATTTTAATCACTATGTTGTGTTAATTTTCATCCTTTGATTGTAAGTTAGTTAGAAGTTTTGTATTACGAAAGCATCGGATATCTGGTTGGCCATGGTACTGTACTACATGGTAAAATATAAACACAACAGTGAATTTATAGACGGACATGTAAGAAATTATTAGAAATTTCTACACTTCATATACTGTATGCATATATGTACATACATATTTTTTTATAATTTTATTTAAAATTTACATATTAAATAATTTATATAATTTTTTTAATATGGGATTATATATTTATTTTTAAGTTACTATAAATCCTTATTGTTTACATCTTTTAAGTATATATAAGTTTATAATGATATTATTACAAAATTGTAAATTAAATTGTTCTTATCTTTTATATAAAAAACAATTGCTGAAACTTTTAATCATTGTGAAATATTTGTTATAGAAATTTACTGTATAACTATTTCAGGATTATTTAATTTTAATAACATAAGTACACAAACAGTTAACAAGTGTTCAGATAAATTATTACTAAAATGAAGGATATTTCACACAAGATGATAAGCTTTTATCATAATAAAAAATTTTTAGTAGTGCGTAGTAACTCATGCCAATATGTCTGCTATAATTGCTTGCATTATGTTATATATTTATTGCCAGTCTTACTCATAAAGAAAAACATTTGATAAGTGTTCTTGCTACTACTTCCAATTTGCTCATTCTAAGCTTGACCTAGTTATGAGATTTATTTGTGGGATGACTAACTTTATACATTTCCTATGAATAACTTAAAAATCTTATAAACAGCAATAATTCAAATATAAGAACAAACTAAAATAATATAAACTATGTTCAACTGATATATAGCATTTTACAATTTTTTTACAAATATTTTTTTATCAATATAGTTATGATCATGATGTTTTACATATTTGTATTCCTTTGTATCTTTCATATTGCTTTACTAATAACACCTAAAAGAATTTAGTATTGTTATATGTTATGTAGTAATATGTTATATTATTTATAAACATAGTTGTTATCATGTAAAATCTATCTAGGGAAAGTGACTGATTGATAGGTACATTTTTTTAATTTGACAGCATATAAACATAACTTTAAGTATATACCAAATTGCAACATCAGTAATAATTGATATTGAAAAACATAAAGATATTTGCAGTGTAATTACAATGTGAAATCACTGGAACAGTGAAATAATTTGTTTAACATGCACACAGTGGATACAGAATGTAAGATGTGTAATATCAAAAGTCATAAATCGAACCATAACACTGAAAAAACTAATTATTTCAGATATTATATATCTGGTAGATATATAAACAAAGGAGTTCACTCACCGAGGGGTAAGTCACAAAGGAGACAACAAGCAGCGATAGCACCAGCCGATGCACCACTAATCTTATCCAAAAGCAAGTGTGGAGCATATTTCTTGAAACACACTGCCACACCAACGTAGTAAATACCAAGGAAACCACAACCAGCAAACGATAAATTCATTTCGGAATTCTCTTATACAATATATTATTTATTGTTACTTTTATTTAAATCGATATTCGAGAATAATTTTACAATGGATAAAAAAAAATACTGATTTCTTTTCTTCGGCACTATGAACATCACTTATAAAGAAAATGCTTTGAACGACGTATTTCGCACGACGTCCACGTTCGAACTATCAGTAGTCCTTTGCAGCAACAACAGTCTCCCGAAACTCTCAAGCCTAATCTTAAATATGATTGAAAAAAATACATGTTACAAACAGCTAAAGCGATAATACACATTTGATGACGTACGTTTTGTAAATATTCGCTAGATCTCTCATTGGTTGATTTCGATGGTGTGGTGATTGCTCCGCCCACTCAGTGTTCTTAAACTCATTCAATGTGCAATAGTCCTACAGGTACACGTGTTTGTTGTCAAAATGACTGTCTTCAAATACATTTATGTTTTCTCATTAATTGACGTTTGACAAATTATACTATAGCAATTTAGTAAGTAAAACAAATTATATTTTTGATAATAACTAATATTTTTTAAAGTACACAATTTTTGCCTTTTATATTACTTTTTTTTTATACACAATTTATACAATTTTTTTTTCTTTTTTAATTTTTATTTTAATGGTATATTTAAATCGTATAAATAAATATTTAATTATGCAATATTTTTTAATAGTCATTTAAGGAGAGATATTTTATCCTTGTATTAAATTCTCGATTAAAAGTAAAAATTAAAGTATTAGAAGTAAAACCTCGTTTTATATTTTTCATTTAAAATGATTGGTTGATAACCTAGAATCTATCTGGGATTGGTTGGTTTTATAAATGACAGTTAGTTATGAGTTTTTTGTATATTTTGTATTATTCGTAAGAAATTTATACTTTGTACTATAAATTATTGATTTTATAAATATAATATTTGTAATGTAAACGCTTCTTAAGTTACAGTTCGATTGTTTACTCCCTTGAAAATTAAGTTTAATCTTGATCAAATTTACGTATAATGCTATATATGTTCGTTATTTTCTTGGTAATTTATATTTCGTAAAAAATTTATAGTATTTTACTCTAGCTTTCTCTATAACAGAATAATTAGTAAAAAAGTTTCAAAATTCAATGTTTTTAGTACTTAGAAAGTTTATTTCTCAAAACGTAGAAATTTTAACTATCTGTATTAAAAATTACAATATAGATATTTAAACAAAGTACGCATTCTAAAAAAAATTACGAGGAAAATTCTTTCCCATATAAAAAGCAAGATTTTGTATACGGAACTACAAAGATTACGTTAAAATTACGCAATTTTGACGTATATCTTGACACTATTGAATGTGACATATAACCAATAAGTGACTATATGACTTAAAACAATCTAAAAAAAGAAACGAAGTTATATACAATGGATGAAAACGAACAAACGTCGCAAACATTACACGTGGCTGAAGAAAATACTAATATATTAAATGAAACTATTTTCCATGCTGTATATATACCTGGAGAAAACATTGATTCTTCAATACAAAGAAATAGTACAGGTAAACACATAAAATTAACAATTATTCTTTTATTGTTTTTAATTTTCAAATTATTATTTTAATAAAATAACTAATTTATATTTAAATGTTACAGAATATATTCGAGTTTATCAAGACAAGACAGAAGCTTTAAAAGTAATTAAAGAATTTAGAACTGGTCGTCTAAAATCATTTAAAAAGCGATTAGAAGCTGAAGAATATGCTAAGACTGGTTTTGAAGAAGCTAATTATATAAATAATATGTCAATAAATACAACAGTACCTGCAGTAGAAGAAAAATCAAATAATTTTAAAGTTCTACGATCTCAAGAGCTTGTATGTTTTAGAAAATTAATTAAAGATGGAGATTTATATACAGTAAAAACTACAGTATTGGGAAATCCTCGATATTTAATTGGTAGTGGAGATACACCTACAATTTTGCAAGTAAGCTATAATTTATAAACATGTTTAAACAATTAAATCGTTTAATATATGCATTATGTAAAAAATTTTGTTCCATTAACTTATTATAGGAAGGATGCCGTTATAATGCATTACATATTGCAGTTAGAGCAGACAGACCAGATATGTGTGAGTTAATATTAAACACTGTTGGAAACACAGACTTTATAAAACTGCTTTATGGTGATGAATGTAAAAGTTATGTGGATCGGGCACAGATCATGTTAGATTTGTATTTAAATACACCTGATAAAGGATTGAATGAGACTCCATTACACTTTGCAGTTAAATTTGGTTTAAAAGATGTAGTTCGAGTTCTTGTTTCATATCCATGTTGTATAAAAACATTACCAAATAAGTATAAACAACTACCAATAGATGTACGTAATAAAGTATTCAAAATTTTTTATGAAGAATACTAATATATACTTTCTTAATTACTTACAAATAAATGTAAATTAATTACTTTTTATTTTTTTAATTATTTTTTTATAACTGTAAATAATATCTTACTGTTTTGTGGAAAACATTATTTTAATAATGCGTTTGATGATTTTACAGATAATTTGTAGTAGGTCAAGTCAGAAAGATGAAGAATTAAAAAAAGAAATACATTTACTGTTAGAAGATCAGTATTATGTACCTGTGTTAAGATCAGATGATAAGTCATTACAACCTGTGATTGGGGAACCCTTTTCTCCTACTAGTCCTTTGGTATGTAGGATATTTCAATTTACATTTTATGGTATTTTATGACTAATATTTTTGTAGAGTTTAAATACAGATCCAATAAGTCCACGTTTGGAAATACGTGCATTTGCTGGTCCAATGACGAAATCTCGTGCATTAGAATTTAGAAAAAAGTGGAAAACGCCTCCACGTCTACGTATGACACCAATTAAAAATGCAACTGAAAGTGAATTTACAGATAGTTCTAGTGATAATTTAGCTTTAAGATTACAAGATGTAGAAAAAGGACTGGAACGAATTGGAAGGTATATTTTACTATGAATTTCAACATAAAACGTATTTTAATCATTTAGAGAAAGAAAATTGAAACAGTGTGTAATTTTTAGAAATTTGGCAGAAGAATGGCAGGTATCATGGAAAGAATATTGGCCATTTTTAAACGATTTTGCAGATTTTCATACTACAGAAGGTTTAACAAAACTTGAAAAGTATTTAGAGTCTAAATTTCAGGAACAATTTGTTCATTATAATCAGGTATAAACATTATTTCTTAATTTTTAACATTTGTTTAATAACTATTAGATAATTTTTTCACAGACATCAAATGATAACATGATTAATTTAAATGAACATTCAAAAACCAAATTGTTGGTCGATTCAATAGATTATTTATGTTCTAAATTACAATCATGGTCATTGCTTACACCAAATAATCAAGATGAAAATAATGTAGGTAAGTGTTGAATATTTTATAATGTAAGTGTATATAGATGCACAGCGCACGCATGCGCACACACGTGTGTGTATGTATATGTGTATGCTTATATTTATAGTAGGAAATATCTGTAAAATATGTTGTTTTCTTCTTTGTTAGATGAACTAGAATTTTTTACACCACCATCATCACCAAAATTAGCAGTAGATAGTTCTGATGATGAAATGCAAAATGCAGAAGAAGGTCTTGTAATATTTCTAGAAGGGTAAGATATTACATAAAAATAAATTTTGTTTTTAGTAAAATAATTATTTTTATGTAAATATAGTACAATTATTATACATACACAATTCTTCATTTATTATTTTATATTTTATAGGTTTGTACCAACACAATTAGATTATGCTGTTTATAATGCAGTATCAACATCACTTAATCCCATTACATATCCAAACATTTATCGCTGGCAACATGACATGCAACTTGCTATGAAACGTGATTTACATAGGTATCGATTTTTATATACTCAATAATTATAACAAATGATGATTATTGTTATCTTCCTTCTACAATAATACAATATAAATTATTTTTACTATCCTAATTATATATTGATTATTAATTATTAATACATTTTAATCTGTTATTTTCAGAACAAATAATACAAGACCAATTAGAAGAAAATTGATTATGAATTTTTAGATATGTGAAGTATAAAAGAGTTAAACAATGTATGAAATTAAAACTATAAAATTTTTTTTATCTTACGCACAATAGGAATAATTTGTTAAGTAACATTAATTTACTTTAAAACTTAATTATACTAAAAACAGTATATTTTCATAAAATTTTATATGTAATTAAAATAATTCATGAAAATTTTGTATATTGTTCTATAAATTATCGTTTATATTTAAATTCATACATGCAAGGGTTTAGTTATTATGTTTATTGTTATATTTAATGCTATTAATAATTATTTTACATATTTTATTTTTTGAATTTAATATTTATGCGTACATTTACTATCAATAATCTTTATTCACAATAACATTACATTTTCACTTAACAGATCAAGTATGATCTTTTTTTTAAATGATATTATTGTAACTTGCATATACTTTTCTTTCATTTGATAGTATATTTATATATATATGTGTGTGTGTATATATATATATATATATATATATCTATACTCCATACCAAGTTATTAATTTAATCAAAGACTGCCTGGAGCCGGTGGAGTTTGTTTTAATTGCAAAATAATTGAACGCATTCGGGAAACATCTTTTGAAGTTCGGGAAGATTTGGGATTAAAATCGCAAAGTTTTGCAATTCGTTCCCATTCAGTACCTGGCTCCACTTCATCAGCTTCTGCTACAAATTGTTTTTCTGCATTCCTAGAGACAAATATATTATGTTACATAAGCTACAACGTATAAAAAACATAAATGCAACAATACTCGTAAATTAAATGCATCAATGATATTGCAGTGTACATATTGAATAATTTTGTTTCCATTTTTTTACATATAACATATGCAGCGACGCAACATTCAAAAATTTTTTAAACATACATAATACATAAATAGAAAGAAAAAACACTCATATTTTTATACGTGTTTGTACATAAATAAGTTCGAAAATAAGTGATAGTTATAATACCAAAATGTAATTATATTACATCAAATGTCATACACACAATATAAAAATTAATAATTCTAATAATAACTTATATTATATTTATACGCTTAAAATATTTTAATTGATAATTAACATGTAATTGATGTAGTTTCAACATTTAAATTAAAAATATAATGGGATAGAAATAATAAAGTATAATATTCTTAATATGTACTTTTACAACTGTTTTCAATATAATTGAAGTCAGTAAATGCATGGCTTGTATACAATACAATTAGAAACACCGAAGTCTCAAGTATAATTGCATCAAGCACAAGATATACGAATTGTTACAAAAAAGCGGCTAACATATACGAAAATATATGATATTTCTGATACCATTCTACAAGTTGCCTCATAAATTGAACAAGCAAGCTATATTATACAGCAATGCAATGCAATTATACATGCAAAAATATATAGTGTAACTTACTTGGCTGATTCCCTAAGAAGCAGAATGAAAATAATATAATTGTATGTAGTATATATTTGAAATAAAGTATTTATAATGTTATATAGAATAAAACTTTTAATTGCATCTACAAGTATGCAATTAAAAGTTACAGTTATAGAAAATATATCGAAAACATCATGTAAATTAAAACTGACCAGAATGATAATTTTAAATATTACCTGTTTGTAGTTTTTGTTTTACTAATTGCTTCTGCATGATGTTTATACCATTCTTCTAATTCATTCCTTGCAGCTTCTCTCCACTCTTCTTTTTTCTTTTCTTCTTCTGCATCTAAATAAATTACATATAATAATAATGTAATACTAGTAATTTAAGATTGTGAAATAAATTTACTATTGCACTGATATTTATACAAATTAAAGTGTTATAAAATACCTTTTTCCTCTAGTCTAGCTTTTTGTTCTTCTCTCCATTTTCGTATTTTCTCAGGTTCTTCTTTCACAGGTGCAGGTTTAGATGCAGCTTCTGGAGATAATTTTTTTTGTTTTAAATATATATTCAATATTTCATAACGAATTATTAATAAAAAAATATTATTAAAAAAGGATTACAATAAAATTTACCTATTACTGGAGGTACTTGTATTTCAGGAGCTTGTCCAATAGCATCTATTATTTCAAAACTACCTTCGGCATCACCACCTGGACCAACTTAAATTTTCAAAATTTTCAAAATTTTTAGACTATTATTTACTAAAGTTTAATTATATTTTAATTAGAAATTCTTCAAATAAAAATATATGTTGTTATTATTTCATAAACTAATGTAATTAATGGAACTAAAAAAATTAACGAATAATACAAGAAGCTATAAAATAATGTTTTGCTTATTACAAATTTGAATTTTATGAATATTATAAATTTATGTAAATGTTAAATAATTTAATTGTTTTAACTTTTACATAATCATTAATTACCATCTGTATTAGGTGCTATTGCAGGAGTAGATATAGAAACTGGTGGAATTTCATTCTCAAGCCCTGCTAATTGGTCTTGTTCCCTTGCTACAAATTCTGCTACTGGATCTACTTCTTGATCATTGACAAAGTTGTCACCAAATGCATCCATTTTGTCTAATAAGTATATTAAATACTGACAAACTTTAAAATAAATTAGTACTTCTAAATATAAAAAATTGTATGTATATAATGTGAAATATATAATAAACAAAAACAAATTACACAGTTTTTTAGATTCTGAAAAAAATTATAGTTTATACCTTCATTTTATAACTTTTGATAAATTACTTTTTAAAAAAGACAAATATATTACAATAACACAATTTTCTTTAAGTTTAAACTATAATGTTAGTATTGTGCAAGCATTTACTTATATTTTATCTCAATATAATATTTCATCATGCATTTTATAGGTTAAATTAAAATGCTATGAATTTGTTTGTCATTCAAGTAATGTAAATGGAAACAATCTAAAACCAGATATTTATTTATTCAAGGTACTATTAAATTGTATAAGATATCAAAAATATTGAAAAGAGTAATGTATGAAATAAAATAAGAACGTTTATTTAATAGTAATAAATATAAAAAATGTTGAATCAAGTATTGTACCTCAATAATGTTATGGAATGTGAAACTTTTATCTTGGGAAACACCCACAACTGTCGTTTCGTTAGATTTCTATTAAATATCAACTACAAATTGTCAACGTCAATACTAGTTTAGAGCACAACGCACACATGCGCACAATTAAACGTAATGGTTAAGCAAGAGAAATCAGTACTACCAACATTCCATGAACACCGTAAAGAATACATTTAAGAATGTTGAATATATTTTTATATGACAAAAATATATATTGTAATACTTAAAATGAATAACATAATTTATTGTTTCATTAATAATTTTTTTTTATAACATATGACAGTAACGATATTTTATTGAAATTTATATTTTAATATTTGTCTTTTAAAATTGTTTTTATTTGCTTTTAAAAGTATTTCAAAATCAAATATTACTATTTTACTACTCCGTTCATTACTTAATTTGCTTCCAAAATATATAAAGTCACTTATTTCATTAATTTGTAATAATTGAAATTCGATATTACAATCATAATAAGATAACATTAAAAACAAAATTGTATGTATATATATTTTTTAATATGAACATTATAGACATGAATTGTGTATCAAACACTTGAGTATTTTTATTGTAATATGTCTTGCTCAGAGATCATGCATAAAATACTATGTACTTCTTCCTAAAATATTTTAACAATTTATAAAAAAGTTCTATTGAACAATGTATGGAAAGTTGCACAGAGATATTTATATATGGAGCATGATATATAAGCTTTAAACCAAAAATTTATTTGGATAGTTATAAATAGAAATGTTTTTTAAATAGCATGATCTATGAAATGTATGTACAATATATTTCTCACAAATAGATGTAATGATTAAAAAATCACTTTTGGTTAAACCATAATTTATAAAAGTTAGCAATTTTATATATGCAGAAGATCGTAAATAAATAACTATGCAAAAGTCATAAAAATAGACGAATGTTGTAATCATTTTTACACATTGAAGTGTTTCCATCACAATGATGTATATTTTTAGTACAATGTCAATAATAAATACAATTATTATTCTTACACTTCCTATTATTTTGTGACAGATCACTGGCAACAAAATTTAGGCATCATGTATGTAGAGCAAGTGTTCTGTTAACAATCGTCTAAAAAATGCATATAAAAATACAATTCCTAAATAACATAATTTAGAGCTTCATTCGTTAATATAATGACGGAGCTCTAAAAACAGTTATTAAAATTTACCTACAACCTATAATAAGTATAGGTGGTGGTGAAATATGAAAGATAAAGTCAATATGTTTGCCTAGGCTAAACATAGTGATCAAACATGCTAATAGAAGTAACTCGTACATTTCATTTGTGAAACAATAGCTCAGTCTTGCCCTAATCCCCTCCTTATCTTTCAAAACATGGGATTTATAATGGGAGGTTCGTTATCTCCAAATATGTATAAATTTTTAGATTCTTCTATTTCTGCACAATGCCTGTTAAATACTAAGCGTTTTCTTCTTCATCTTCAGAGGTCAGTGTTACATAATCAATACGTCGTGGTAATAATAATGCTACATGTCCATATCTAAATAAGAATATATTTGATACTCAATTCAAATTATGAAAAAAAGTGAATTAGTTTGAGCATTAAATATCTAAACTTACTTGCTGCTTTTGTATCTTTCTTGTATGGCTTGTTGTTGAATATTTAATGCATTACAGAAGGTCTTATTTAAACACATAATGCATTCTTTAAGATCTTTTAAGCTATATCCAGTTGATAATTCTAATTCATGTGGCCACATCTCTTCTAATAATGTATGTCGTGCAAGTGCTATTGCAGATGCAGCTAAATGACTAGGTAAAAACTGTAAATATGGATCCCCTTCAAGCAGTGATAATTCACAGAGATACTGTAAAATTGTGTGTAATAAAGTGTATAATAAAGATATATTAATATAATATAATATATGATATAATAAAGAAATATTATACACTTACCATTGCTAAAAATTTAATTTTTTCAGAAAGATTATTACTAATACAATATTCCATAAGAAAAGTAAGTGGTGTGGGTACAGTTAGATCAAAAGACAAAACCCTCAATATTAAATGCTCCATACGTAGTACCTGCTTTTTTGTATATGTATCATCTGTGATATATACAAATTCGCCTACATCAGGTGGATAGATCTCTTCATATTTCCTAAAATATTAATCATTTAGAATTAAAGATTTTAGTTTGATTACTTATGAACTAAGTTACTTATTAACATTACTTATTAACTAAGTAAATATAGTTAATTAAATAAACAAATGTATGATATATAAAAGAAACTTACGCAGCAATAAACATAGCTGCTGTTCCTACAAGTTGTAGTTTTTCTCTTACAACACTCATATATGATAAAAAGCGGTCTATATATGAAACAGCTAAATAGAGTGTCTCAGTCTGTAACCGATATTCTTCAGCAACTTCCACAAGCCAGTCCACTAATATTGATCTCATTGAATATGTTATATCAGGTTGTTTCTTCATATACCCTGGTTTTGGTCTATGGTGTTTCTAAAATAAAATATTTTATTAAATCAATGTCTGAATATTAATTATTTTATATTTGAAATACAAATTGAAATACAGAAAAATATCACATACCTCTGCAGCTCGTAGATAATTATATACATCAGCTCTATATTCATCTACATCAAAAAAGTTCATTCTCAATTCTTTTATAGATTCCCTTCGTTTCTGAAGATTTTTCTTTGATGAAGATGAATGAAATGTTGGTTTTTCTAAAGACATTGGACTGCCTTGTGAAAAAATTATTTCAATTTCTTTCTTTTGATTTATATCTTGCATAGTATTACAAAATGTTGGTAAATTTGAGACATTTATAGGATTCACTTGTAACCTTGGTTTCTCTCTTTCTGATTTAACATCTTCCTTTTCTTTAATTTCTTTTTTATCTTTTGTATCTCTAAGTGCAACAGAAGTTTCCTCTTCTAACTTATCTTCATAGATTTTAAATATAACCTCTTCCTTTTTTCCTTCATAAATTTTGAAAGGTTCAAACTGTGTGGGTATAACTGTTTTTGTTTTTGGATACTTTTCATCTTTGTAGATTTCCTATAAAAAGTAAAACAAACAATTACTACATTATTAACATTAATAATGAATAATTTAAATTTTGCATGATCAAAAAGAAGTTGTACAATTTTAAAAACTATTTTCAGCAGTCATTCACAGTATATAATAAAGGTAAGAAGTTGTCTAATTCTTCAATCTAAAAAAACGCGGGAGGAAAGATACAAAATATATACATACTGATTTCGTATTACGATTACAATTATTGTGAAGAACGCCTAAAACTGCACGTTTTGTTAGTTGCAATGTTTGATTTTGAATGGGCACGGTAATATTTTCTTTGCCGCGACGAACATCGTTGATACGATTTTCTTGATCCTCGTGTACTCGAATCGTGGCCATTATTTAGTTTTAAATTTTCAGTCAGTGTACTATATATCTATCAATTCTTCTTTTTTTCTATATTATTATTTCTCTTAAACACTATGCATGCCCTGTTCTTGTTCCAATGAATTGTATTTACCGTCCATACATGGCAGTCAAATTTCGAAGCTCCAAGCAACCCAACAAACTTCAGTTGCCGTTTGATTTCAAACAAACGTAACTTCAACAGCTGGCGATACGTTAAAAGCGTTGCTCAAATAGACCAATGAGAAAAGCATGTCTTTTATAAATTAGAAGTACACCAATCAAATAAGTGATGTGTTAACATGTACTCTTAAAATTATCCTTTAATATAGGCGGATATACAATAAAAAGTATTGTTTAATGAAAAAAGTAATATAATTTATAAACATAGAATTTTGTTACATATATTTTTATGATAAACATATGAATTATTTTTAAGCCCTTCAAGGTTTATTTTCATTTTATGATATAGTTATACTAAATGAATATAGTTAACAAAATTTAAATGTAGCCTTTAATGAATTTATTACATTAGATTAAAAAAAAATAATATAATTTTTTATATACCTCTTTTGTAATATATTATAGTTGATAAAAATTCATATTATTAACAAAAGAATGTATTTAAAAAATTCATTTCAATAGAGAATAAAAGAAATAAAATTATTGTGCACAAAAATATTTTTTTCTGATTTTTTATAAATTTATTTAATGTTAATTATAAATTAATCATAAAATTACAATGATTTAAAAATTAGTATTACATTTAAGGTTTCAAATTAAAAAGTATTATATAATATTTTTATTTTCTTTAAATTAAAAAAATTACATTTTAATGCAAAATATAATTTTATATAAGCATCTAAAATTAATACTCTAATTTTTTCCTATTAATACTTTAGGATAATCTATTTTTGTAGGAGACTAAAATTTTTAACCGATTTGTACTACTTAAAGTTTGTTATTCGTGACTACTGGCATCAAACTCATCGCTGCTGATTGATATTTGCCGTGTAGAAAGTTTATTTGCTTATAAGTTCGTAATGTTTTTACAATATTCGTGGCAACATTTAATACCGTGATTGGTTTTATAATAAAAGTTCAATGCGATAGATTTGTAAAGTGTATCATTTTAACATATAATCGCGTATTTCGCGTATAAACAGTGTGTAAAGTTAAAATTTTAACCTCGTAAATAAAATTCGCATTCGTCGGCATATCTAATTATCTACTATTTAAAGTCACAAAAGTGATTTAAGAAGATCTACATCAAGAATAATAATAATGAGTCCATTAAATCGAGGACCCTTATTAGGGCCAAGAGTTCCACCAACTGGTATACGACCTCCACCACCTCCGAGATTCGGTGGTAGACTTCCACCTCCTGGTTTGCCACCAAGGATGCCTCCACCTCCTATGAATCCAGTTTTCGGACCAATGCGACAAAGATTGCCACCGCCACCGCGACCTGGTGGAGTAAGTCGACCTAGTGGACCGATGCCATTATTTGGTCCAAGAGTCAGAGGTATGGCTCCAATGGTTCCACCAATGGGCTTAAGAGGTGTAGGACCTAGAGGACCATTAATGAGACCTTGGCACAGAAGAGCATTACCACCTCAAATTTTATCTCATATGAGACCAAGATTTTCTATAGGGAATGGTAATGTTAAACCCAAAACATTGAATAACGTGAAAAAAGTCAGCAAACTTGAAGTAAGTACGAAATTTTTAATTTTCTTAATATTTCTAGAACACAAATTGGATAATAATTCTAGTATTTTTTCAAAATAATTGTAATAATTGCATGTGAAAGAAAATATTATTAATAAATTTATTTAATTGATAGTTCATTATCTTCTTTATTCAAACATAGTTTATTTATATTTTAGTAGCATTATTAGAAACTATTTCTGAAATTTATCTACTTCTTTGCTAGTCTGCTTGAATTTTTCTTTTGTATTTGAAATTATTTGTATTAAGAATATGATATTTAAATAAACTGGATTTATAAGTTTATACCATATAATTAATTTAATTCTTACGTTTTATTTAGTAAGTGATATAAAATATACGAAAAAAATTCTTCATTATTTAATAACACACATATAATAAGCTATAATATTAACAATGAAAAATAACTTATTCTTTTATAATTATATATCATCTTGGTATCTAAAAGAGGTCAAAAATAAAAATTCCTAAGTTACTATTTAAATCTTGATGAAAAGGTATTACGATTATTCAGGAATTAGAATTAAAGAAGCCATGGATGACTGATGAAATTCGAAGTGAAATACAAAAGAAAAATAAGCTGTATGCTAAAGCAAAAAAGAATAAAGATGCAAAAGAATGGGAAGAATTTAAGGATTTAAGAAACAAAGTAACAAGGATGATCAGAGATGCTAAAAATGATTATCTTGCAAAACATCCTGAACAGGTATTTTTTCATTTAACTTTTATACATATATTACAAAATAATTTCTTTTTTAACTAACAATTTACTGACTAAACTATATTTTTCTGATTAATAATAATTATATATCTTTTTTGTTTTATATATATGTATTACATATTTATAAGCACTATAAGAAAAATTAGAATATTAACCAAGTTTACAATTCTGATCATTTTATTTTCTATTTGTAATAAATTTGAAGTTATTTTAATTAATTAGAAAAATTAATATTTTATATTAGAGTAATTAATATTTATGATTTTATATACAATTCTTTTATAAGTTCATATATTTGTTCATATCATACTACGATTAAAAATATAACACCATTTACAGTTTCATACCTACATAGAAAGTTTATATTTTTTAATGCAGCCTGAATGTTATATTAAATATAATAATTTTAGGATTATTAATTGAAAATTATTATAACATATGAACATACAGTAATTTTTAGTACATATTTCATAATGGTTTTCACAGAAACTTTATTACTGTTACTTATCTAAAATATATTTTTCTTTAAGAAAAAAGACAAAAGATAGACCACCCTGTAAAAATACATCACAAATAAGTCTATGTGTAATGTAATTAATATCTTCTATTTATATTCTCTTATTATATATTATTAATTAATTAATATTTAAAGACTGTATTTGGTGTATCCCATATCGTAGATAAAATAAAATTACAGTTCATTCCATTTAGCAATTTGGAGTAAGTATTTCAAAATATATTTTAAGATTTAAAAGTATTAATATACTAAATTTGTTTAATTTTTTAGGTTTTTATTCATATATTTAGTATATTATTTATGAGTCGTTTATATAAGACAAAGAATTGTGTTTATAATTTATAATTCTAAAACGTTTAAATTACAAAATTCACAAATGTGTAAAAAATATCATACATTAAAATATAAATATTTTTTTATTTCTGAATAATAAATGTATGATTATATTTAGTTGAATTTTCCTACCTTATTTCTTTAAATGTATATTTAAGTAATAGTATATTTAAAACCAATATAAAATATATCTTTTAGTTATATTTACTTAATAATAGACTACTAATTTTGATAATGATATTAGTACAATATTATTTCTATTCAAAATAAATGTTTGCACCACTACATTTAATTGGCACTACATTTAATTTCACTGTTTTCGTGTCATAGTTGACAAATTGCTTTGATTACAGGGTGGTCAAAAAACAGGTGATAAGAATACGATCGAATCCGTGGGTGTTCAGAAAAGTGAGAATGCAACTGAGCAATCAGAGCAAATGGAGCTAACGGAGGAGATGCAGCCTTCCAGCGAACAGGCACAGTCTTAAGCTTCAGGCTACTCCTCCTATAAAGAATTGAACAGTTGAAATTACACAAGTATTCTGTTTTCAAACTTCAGAACGATTTGATTCCTTCTTGTTTTAATGTGCAGTATATTAAGAATACTGCATTTGAAATATTTGTATCATTTATAATTACAAAATTTACATTATCCGTTCTTTTGTCATTTGTAAAATATCATTTCTTTGCAAGGTTCACTCTTAGCATTTATATTGTAAGTGCATGCTGTTAAACAATTATGATAAAATACTTTGAGAAAATAGAATTTAATATTGAATAATATTTGAATAATAGATATTCACTTATTTTTAGTAATATATACATAAACACTTGTTTTTTTCTCTTCATTCATTAGTGTATGCTTATAAATGTAAAATTTTGTATATTTCTTATATATTTTCATGTTAGAGATATTAAATATCTATAACTTATTTTCACAAGATATATATAAAAAACTGGCTTTTATTAGTTTGGTCATTATAAAGTTCTTTAATTGCTCTTTGGCCAGTATACAGTGCTGCGAGCTATAAGATTCTTAGTAAAAAAATTTTAGAAAAAAATTAGAATATTCTTTAAGATATTTAAAGAAATGTGTTTTATCGAACAAAAAATAAGATTTATTTAATAAATCAAAAAACACGAAATTTTTACATAGCTTGTGGCTCTGTATTAAGATATGACAATTTTTGTAATTGTTTGTTATTATACGTCGTAGTATTGAGTACATTTGATTAATTAAAATAATACATGACTTCCACGAAATATAAATTCAAAATAAAATAAATTTGTAATTAAGATGCGTATTGTAAGAATAAATCGTATTTCTATAAGTTCTAAATCTGGTGTCCCCAATTACTCTATAAACCATGAAAAAATATAATTTCTTATATGTGTTGAATAATCGTTCTGAAATATGAAAATGACCTTTTTAGATTTTCTGCAACAAATAATTTTTATGAAAGTATCAGTTATACGTGTTTTATACCGACGTATAAAATAAATACATACTATTTTTAGTATGTATTTATTAAAATCATACAATAAGTAAATTTATTGAATTTGCAGTAGTAGATATATTTTTACTTCAAAACAGTTTAAAGTAAGAATTTACTATATTTTCTAAATTTAAATTAAGATTTTTTTATATTGTCAATTTAATCCTATATTTTAGGACTCTTATTTATATGTGTTATATATTACTTTTTACGTGTAATATATTATGATGACCATAAAATACCTTTCTGAGTACTTATAGACTAAATTTAACTTAACACGAATTATTGGTTTAACATATGAACTAAAAATTTCTGCATATAATACTTGTATAAACTTAAAAGTGAATTTCTGAATACCCTGGAAAAGATTTAAAAATAATATATAAGCAACAGGTGTACATAACAACACAAATGATCACTATTTGTAAATATGTTTTTATGTTTATTTGTAGATATATACGAATAATTTTGCTTAAATAATTGTGAAAAAATACTTCTATAATTCTATAAATATTATAGTATCCATCATTAATAGTTCTATTTATTTATAATATTTTTCCTACAAATTTTATATTGAGTATAGAGAAACTTTAATTAATACATAATTTATATTACATATTTGTATAAAATATCTTTGTAAGGATTTAGTCTATGTTTAACTTTGTATTTTAATTATTCAAGTTATTTTAACTTTTAAATTATTGTTTTAAACAAAAGAATTATTTAAGAAAAATGCAGTACTATTTGTCCTTTAAATAAATACTTCATGTATTTTATAATTTAGATTACAAAAAGTTATGAAACTGAAATTATTGTATAAGACAAACATAAAAAATAATCAGTTAAATTTCAAATATTACTATCATCAGTAACAAGTGTAACCCAAGAAGTATTTTTACATTGAATTTTAATGTGAATAATGTATAAAAAAATATTTGAAGTAACCATTTTTAGGCTCATCTTTATCCAAATAATAAAGAACCATATGATCAGAGAGATGAAAATTATATCAGTTCAGAAGATGAATTATTTTATTGTGAAACATGCGATAAAGATTTCTCATCAGAAGATACTCTTTCCGAACATAGGAAGGAACATAAACTTTGTGGTATTGATGGATGTACCTTTTGTGCTCATCCATTACTTGTTGAAAGACATATTACTATGCAACATAGTAGTGGTTTGTACCATAAAATAAAAAATGTATCAACTCCAGAGGATATTGAAAAATGGATAATGGAGCGAAAAAAGTAAGTTATAATAATTTTTCAATTGATACTAATAAGTGATTATTATTTATATGATACTAAATTGTAGAAGATATCCAACTAAAACTAATATTGAATTACGGAAAGCAGAAGAAATGGAAAAAGTACAAAGAGGAGAAGTTATTAAACAAAAACAAGATGTTACTAAACGAAGGAAAAAAAAATTTGTAAATTCTTATAATCGAAAAAGAATGGTAAAAAACCAACCTATTAAAATGTCCAACAATATTGCAGAGGAAAAAGAAACATATAGAGGTTTATATCAATTTTGTGGTACATGTTAGTATTTAATTATTGTGTTTACATAATTAATGTATATACTTGTTTATATTTGTAATATATTTATCTATGTTTATAACATTTTTAGTAAACTTAAACAAAGATGATTTGCAAAGAGACGATCAATCTAATAATGAAATTGAAAGTGATTGTGAGAAAAATATTAATCATATTTCTGATGAAGAAGAAACACTATCTATATTGCCAAAATTTACTGTTGCTACTTGTAGTATACCTAATCTAGTAGCAAACTATGAAAGTGTTTCTGAAGAGAGTTAGTATAAGTATATAATTAATTTGTAATAAATTTGTTATTGACCATAAAAAAATTTATTTTGTATATTTAAAATATATTATCTACGATTATTATAAGGTAATATTGTTTATAGGTGATACTCCCGAAGAAATACCATTTAAGAAGATAAAATTTAATGATGAAATAATAAAAAAAGAAATACTACATGAAAATGAAGTTGATATACAAAATGTAGATGTACAAAAATTGTCTAGTTTACATTCAACGGATTCATTCCTTAAGATTTCTAAAATTAAACAGACTATTATATTAAATCAACCTTTACAAAATAGAAAACAAAAAATAACGGTAAATAAGAAACAACCATATACATCACAGTTGTTATCAAAATTACTATCAAGATCTATTCAACATGAAAGAAACTTAATTTGTCAATGTATAAAATATATAGTAGATAATAATTTTTTTGAATAAAATTATATAATTATATCTTTTACATATATATATTTCTTAACTACCTCTATTTTATACCAAGATGTATTTGTTTACTAAAATAATATGAAGATAAATAAATATTGTAATATGTAATCATTTATTTCATTACTTTTTATAAATAATGTTTACATTGATTAACTTTTGAAAGAATGTCTTTTCTTTTTTTTAAACTGTTTTTTTCGCATTTCAGTAATATTATCTTCTGATTCTCTTTTTTCTCCACTTTTTATAGATATAAGATTTTTACTTTTCTTTCCTGAAAGTGCATCATTCCAATCAGTTTCAGTTCCTTTAATAGCATATTGCTCCAAATTTTCTTTTTTTAATTTTTCTAATTCAGCTTTTTGTTTTACTTTTAATTCCTGAAAAAACATTAATATAAAATTTTGTTTGTGTTAAGAAATATTTGGTATGTTACATTATATTACAACAAAAAAAGAATATCAAACCTTAGCTGCAGTTTCTAATTCATCATGTAAACTTTTTCCATTGATAGGATTCAATTGAACTTTTTCATTATCAATTTCCTTTTTCATCATGGTGGTCTCAATGAAATTCTCCGCTATTCTGTTAAGATATTGTATAAATTTACGTATGGTACGATTAAATAAACCAAGCAACTGTGTTGGTGCTAAGTCTAATTCTTCTGCTAATTTATCAACAGTTTTATGTTGTAAACCCAATCCTAACAAAATTGCCTAAAAATAAAAAATATTAATAATGAATATCATAATAAAATTTAAATATAATTGTTTCAATGTTATTAGATATGCTAATACAAAAATATAAAATATAAACATTACCGATTGTACTGCTGATAAATAAGTATCACCCATCATATTTAAAAAGTATAAACGTGCTAACGATGGCAATAAATCCATTATTAAATGATAATCTACCATATTATTACTATACATAGTTAAACGTTTTAAATCATAAGATGTAAAATATATATCCAATATCTCTTTTGTCAATGCTAGAAGAAACAATCCTATATAAGAAAAAATATAATCATAGAGGCAAATATAGCATTAAAAATGCACTGACTTGTAATGTCTGATGTAACTGAATTATTAATCAATATACTTAAAGCCAATGAAGATGAATAAGTACTAAATGAAAAAGACAATAAATTTATAAATCGTTTTCGAAAATCATTCCAATATGCTTGTAACCATCTAACATCTTCTTGTCCAGAATTTATTTTGTACAACATAATACACGAATTTTCCCCTGTAATATCATTTGTTGTTTGTCTAAAAACAATAGAAAAATAGAAGTTTGTTTATATTTAATATATAATATAATAAAAGCAATAAACTATACTTAAATGTATTAACCTTAAATATACTGGCACAAAGTTCGCTCGTTTCCAAAATTTCAATAATTGTTCAGTAACACCAAAAGATACACCAATATAATCTAAATTTTCTGGGTGTCTTTCACTTAGTTTTAAAAGGAGTGGTGGAAGAGAAACTCGAGGTTCTAAAAAGTAAAATGAAATTAATAAAATAAATTAAAATTAATATTTATAATATAATATCAAGAATATAATTACCAATTCTTTCTTCTAATAAATTTACTTCTTCATCTTGTACTTTTGATATATCTGTTGTACATATCTGTAGTGGTGCTTCATTAATATTAAGTATTTTCATTTCATAATATTGTTTCAATAATTCCAATGCTCGACTACCATATCCCATCTATAATATAAATATTTATTAAATACAAATTACTTTCGTTAACTTACATAATATATATATATATATATAGCGGTGTGCGCTTAAATGTCCATTAGTCTAGATTGGATGTGAACATTTAAACAGAGAGGTTTATTCTCTTTTGACTGCGGGTCACGTTGTCGTACATAAATAAGCAAGAGTGAAAAACTGTATATCTCTTGTATTCTTCATTTATACATCAAGGTTCGACTAGAATAAGGCATTGTAAAAAAGTGGTGGGAATAAATATTGGACATTTAAATGGACATCACTGTACTTACTTACTCCATGATATTCAGGATGTGTTGCAATACGAACAATACGTGCTCCAGCTAATGAAGGGAAATCTTGATCTTGATATTGTTGGGCAATAGACCACGGTATAAGATCACCAGCTGCTTTACGCCCTCGAACTAGTCCATCATTTATAGTATTTTTACTTATTTCTCCTTCTAAGCAAATCTATGTATCATAAAAATATTAGAACTGTGAAAATACTATTTAATGTATATTTATAATGCTGTTATACTGTATACACTTACTTGAATAACTACTAATACCTCGGGCAATGTTTTCTTGTTTGGATCTATTGGACCCAAAAGGCAAAATAGGTGATGCGCTGGCGCATCAGACATCATTTGTAAATCATTTGGACTATTCTGTGACATTATTAGAAATTCAACACCTTTTCAAATTTAGAAGAAATAAATAAAAATATTTACCTTATAATGTGAAGCAACATAAAGAGCCACTAATTTTTGTAAAAATAATTCAGATGCTTTATGATAAGAAAATAAGGTATCTCTAAAAAGAAATACACAGTAATATGAAATTAAATGAAAGTGTTTTTAAGATATTATAAAAAAGGGTTTATAAGATGTTATAAATATTAGTTTATGTTAAGAAATGAATTACCTATTTATATAATATAACTGGCAAATATCAGGAGGTGGACATCCTAATAACATAGGTGTATTTATTGTAGCATTTAAACATAATAAATCACACAACCACTGTTCAATAGAATCTCCTGGTTTATAACGAATAGATTCTTCTAAAGTCAATTCATATAACTGTCTTCCAATAACAATCTTTTCATTTGGTTGTGTCTTATTTTTTTCATGACTATTTGAGCCAACAGTTTGGTTTCTTAATTGTTGTAACAATTTTAATGATAAAGATCTGCCTGTTCCTTCATATCTATTAAAAATAAATATAAGTTGTATATAATGACGAAACAACAATTAAAAGTAATGAGAATGCAAGATATAATTACCCATTAATAGTAGATGCAAGAAATATTAAATAAGGTCCAAGCATAGCTTTCACATAAGGAAGAGGTATTGCTGCAGCTTCATCAATTACAAGTAATTCAGCTTGATTTAATTTGTGTGCATCAGTAGGATGAATGTACTAAAAAAAATTAATTTTCATCAATATCTTAAATTATTATTTTAATAATCTCGTTTTATGTTACAAATATATCACACCTGAATTGTTTGTCTATGATCGCGGAAGACATTTACACGTACAGTAGCTTTATTAAATTCAGGATTTGTCGATTGTACAAGTCCATAATCAAGGTGCTCTTGATATTCTAATGCATCAAATCCTAAAAATAACATAAAATTTTACTAAATTGAAATATAATATTTGTTTATGGTATTTACCTTTAAAAATGAATTCAAACAGGGTATTTAAGTTTTCTGGGCTTGGGCTTGAAATATAAATATTTGAATATCCAAATGTTATAGCACCAGCAACAGCTAAACCTAATGCTGCAGACTTTCCACGTCCTCTAGCTGCAGTTAAAGAAACAGTGGATCTTAATGTTTTTTCTGATATGCATTCAATGAACTTGAGAAGTACTTTTGCCTAAAAATATTAATAAATTTCTTAGTTATTAATATCATCTGAATTTATAATATAAAATAGCAATTTCACATATATTTTTATTTTATGTGATAAACCTGATCAATTGTCTTGCAACAATTAACAAGCGAAGAAATAGGCTGTGTATCTTTTAAACCCTCCTTTAATGCATCTAATTCTGATAATTCTTCAGAAGAAGGTAATTTTTGCACAGGTTCAATCTTTAAATTGTGTGATGATAAAGGTAATACATTTAATTGATCATCAACAACCAAACATCTTTTACATGAAGCAAGAGATAGTAAAAATCTTTCATTAAATCGGCCAACAACATCCTAAAATAAAATAAAAAATATTAAGAAATTATCACATAGAACTATCACTTAAATTAAACAAATATATCTTTAAATTGATAAAATAAAAATTAATGATATACTTGATGTGCTTCTGTACGAAATCTTTGATGAACATCCATATTCATGGTATATAATTGTTTTAAAGAATTTACTGATTGTAAAAGAAATACAATAAGTCCTCCTCCTTCAACAGTTTCAATAGTACGTGCTAACAAATTTGGTGTAATTGCTTCAAAATCCTACAAAAAGTAATTTTTTGTTAAAATGATTATTCTTGCTCAATCTAAATAAATGAAAATTCTTACTTGTAAAACACACATGCCATATGTGTTTCCTAATATTTTATGTGTTTCATGATAATAACAATATCTTATATTAGTAGAAACTACAAACAATTCAAATGGATCATCTTCATTAACATCCAACTTTCCTGTTTTAACTTTTTTTTGTAAGGATTTCATTCGCTTTTTTCTATGACTACTAAATCCTAATTCTTTCTTATAACACCAAAGTATAGAAGGTCTAGCTCTTATAATAGATTTGGATAACATATGATGTAGCAAAACAACCTATTAATAAATTGTAATTTTTCAAATTTTTTAATATTAATAATATAAATATAGTTTTTCATGTTTGAATCTCAAATGCAATTGTATACTTATGTATCTAATAATACATATTAACCTGATCTCGTGCTTTTTCACCAATAATAATAAACAATGTTCTATGTCCCACAACAACACCATTTTCAATTAAGATACGGATACGATTATCTATTTTTTTACGAACCATCTTTAAAATAAAATATTTGTTTTTTATTTAATTTATATTTCAAAATATGTATATACCACATGCACAACTGTTTAAATTACAATGGGCGCATCCATCTTGTAACCTTAATGCTAACTTACATGTGCAACAAATTATTACTCTATGCTTGTATAGAAATTTTCAATAATTATAAAAAGGATTTAACAACGTAACAGTCATTAATTTATATAATTATATAATTTAAATATAATCTAGTATGTAATACATTAATGTTAAGTGAAAATTAAGTATTCAAACTTAATTCATATTAAAATAGAATAGTATAAAAGATTATATCATTTGTACATATTTTGACTTAAATATAAAAATTTAATTATACAAATATGGTTACTAACACTGCTATGAAGATTTCTTGTTTAATAAAAAGACAAAATATATTTAATTTTGAAAAGTCTATTTTGAAAAGTATCCTTTATGTTGGTCTAGAGTAAAGCAAAAGTACACGAAACATGTATATTGATTTTTTCACGATTACATCTTGTTATTAAAAAGTATGAAAGGTTTTATAGGAAAAAATTTTTAAAACTTTGATTTGATATGAAGTAAATATTAGAAAAAGTATTTTTAATTTACTTGTAATATTGGACTTTGTATTATATTTTATTTATTGTATAGGGGTTACATGCCTAATACAATCTGTGTTACAATAATCAAACACGTATGGTAATGTATTTTTTTAATCTTACTGTGTGCTATTAGTATAAATGTTTAATTAGCATTTGCATAATTGAGTTTGTGATAACAAAAAATTATGCATGTGTGAGGTAATTATATCTATTTTAACCTAATTTATAGCTTAAAGTGAAATATTTTGGTATAACTGATACTAATTTATATGCTATATAGTGAAAAGTATTTAAATATGCTCATCTTTGGTATAAAACATTTAACTTATTCTAATATTAAATTTAGTCTTTTAAACATAATAGTCTAAGTTTCATGTTTATTTTAACGAAGTTTGTCAGTTCTTATATTTGTTTTTCTGTTAATTTTTATCAGTGCTACTAGTTCCTTATCCACTATTGACTTTGGTTTGAGTTCTTCATAAATTGGATAAGTATTTAATATATGCATTTTGTTTTCTTTCACATGTTACACACTTGACATGTTTAAAACTCATTTATTTTCTAATTTAATTTAGTTCATGTATGTACTTTTCATTATAAGCTTTTTATTAACTTTGTATTATAATTCTTTTGTCTGATATCTATATGTATTATGTCACATAATCTGATATTTTATGTAACATAGCGTTTTTAATATTTTTGTACATTTTGTTACATATGGATTAAGTATTCTGGTTTTATCTTAGTTGAATAATTGTTTTAAAATTTCAGATGTTAACCAAGGTTTATTAGCTGTATTTCTTCATTTTGCAAATGCTTTATCTGTTGTTATTTTTATTCTATTAGCAGCTTTTTTACTTTTATCTTAGGTTTTAATTCTTCTTACTGTTTTTTCTTTTATCAGCTTGCTTAATATACAATGGTATTCTTTGAAGAGGTATTAATTGGTTCATTTATATGTATCATTTGATATATGGGTTCTAATATATTTAGCACTCATAATATTATCTAACACTCAAAATATTATTTTTATTTTTGTTATTATTACTTTCGTTGTTTTGTAGCTTTTCTCTTCCCTTGATAAAATGTTTGATTCTTCATTAGTCTTTTCTTTTTAATGCAGCTATTTTTTTTACCAAGTCAATTATTTCTCTTTTCATTTCTTACTTGTATAAGTTCGTTTATATCATTTTATTTCCTTTTACATAGTTGCCATTTTTGTCATTTTTTTTGTTTTTTTGCATTCACATTACTGTTAACCTGTAGTCTGATACTGTTATCTTGACTGTCACTTTTTAAGGATAGTATTTGTTGTTTACCATTTTTATTGACAGTTTTTGATTGGCTTTCCTTCCGCAGTTTCCCCTTCTATTGTCATTTGAGATACTTATTGTATGTTATGTTTATAGGTTAGGTTGAAACTCCGATAACCTATTGAGATTTTTGTGTGTAGTCCTTTTTGATTTTAATTTTATTACTGTTTGTATTTATAATATTCTTAAATAACAAATAATATAGTTATTTTTTATTTATTATAAATATTTTAATCTTTTTTTAATACTATTGTTTTTAGAAATTATCAAGGTATGATATATATCAAATATTTATAGTTATAATATACTACAAGTCAAATTTAAATCATACACTGGAATTTATTTACAAATATAATATTTTAGTATAAAGAACTTCAAGCTATAAACAAAAATGGTTGAAAAAATCCCATTAAGAAAATCTATCACAAAACTGGATGTTCCTGCAATTATAGCTTTCGGCAATCCTTTGTTGGATGTCTATGTATCATTAAAAAATGAAGATTTACTGAAGAAATACAATCTTATGGTAGACGGAGAAACAGAACTTCCTCATGAAAAAATGCAGGAGTTATTGGCAGATTTACAGCTAGAGTTAATAAGTATATTTGTTAATAATTGTTATAGGTTTACATTGTATATACTTTATACAAAGATTTATCATTCAGTTATTTTTTTAGAATATGAATATAATTCATTTAAATGTATAAAAAATATGCAGTGTAAACATTCTTACTTTAATATTTATTTATAAATTCTATTAATTGACATTATTATTATTATTATCATATATATAGAAGAACTTAAAGTATTATCAAAACTTATTAATGGTATATATGGAACAGATCAGAATATAGAGTTAGTGCTGGAGGTTCTGCACAAAATTCAATGCGAATTTTACAATGGCTTTGTGATGAAACTTTTAAAAATCGGTATACTATCTATTGTGGAGGTCTTGGCAATGATTCAAGGGGAACAATGTTAGAAAATTTAGTTAGAACAGCAGGTGTGGATATCAGGTTTGCAGATGTTTTAAATTCTATATTAAATTCTTCTTTTGATGTGTTTTTAAATATGTTTATGTTTTTACAGATATGCAGTTCATTCATCTTTACCTACAGGAAATTGTATAGCATTAACAACTGAATCATCACGTAGTCTTGTTGCAAATATTGGAGCTGCTGGTGTATATACTCTAGACGATCTTAAGAAAAGCAATTTATCATTGGATACAATAAAAATAATTTATATTGAAGGATTTTTTCTAACACACAGTTTTCCTGTAGCAAAAGAACTTGTTAAACAAGCAGAAGAAAGAGATATAATTATAGCTTTTAATCTAAATGGAACATATATATTTAATGTACATATGGATTTTAAATTTCAACTAATAATTTCAATTATGTAATGAAAGAAACATTACATTACATTTATTATAATAACATTTAGTATTAACAATATTATATTAATTTTTATAGGATCATCATATTGCAATTTGTGAAATGGTAGGATATGCAAATATTGTATTTGGTAATGCAAGAGAAATGGAAGCTTTGGCTCAGTCATTAAATGTTACATATGATGATGTAACAGATATACCATTTTTATTGAATAGTTTAAAAAGAATCACAGTTAACGTTTCTAATACAGTTAATGAAGATTGGTTGCGTCATGGAGGAGTATTTGTTATGACTCAAGGTGAATTAGCTCCAGCAATTGCTGTTTGGGGAAGAAGTCAATCTGTTCAAGTATGTTAAAACAAAGAAACAATTTCTCAAGTCAAAAGATTAAATAAAAATTTGTTCGTATTTTATTTAGGTACAACCAATTAAACCAACAATTCCTGTTGTGGATACAACAGGTGCTGGTGATTCTTTAGTAGCCGGTTTTCTAGCAGGTGTTCTAGCTCAATGGAAACCAAAACATTGCTTAGAGTATGGTTGTAAGGTAGCATCTTTTATGGTAACCAGGCTTGGAGTTATGTTACCAGACAATGTACCACCAGATTTATTAGAATAGCAAGTACAATTTATTATTTATGAAATGGTTTGTCATCAGATAATACTTACCTATTTCATGTGAAGTTCTATGGGTCAGTTTTACTCAGAGTATTATTAGAAAAATAAATTGTTGTGATAATAGAACTGTAAAATTTTGTATTTATATTTGCATCTAGTTTTGTTATAGTTTTATCAGCTTAACAATTATATAATTGTTGTAGAAACAAAATATTAGTTTATTTAACATGTTGTACCAATATTAGATTTATAAAATTTAAAAATAACCATTCTTTGTGAAAAAAGTAGTATTATGTGTCTATTGTATGGAGTGCCAAGGGATTTAATTGTACTGTTAATTGTATTTTAGAAATGATAAAGTACAGTACATTAAAATTTATTAACATTAATAAAAAAGCGAAATATATAATTTCATTCAAATATATAAATGTTCATCCTATTTTATTGTATAAGAAAATTGGTTACTATTGCAAAAAATGTATAAATAACACTCAGCTGTTAAAATTCATTAAAATATTCAGTATTAATGTTAAATTATTGAAACAAATGCTATATGTATAAAAATATACTTTTAATGTACAAAAGTATTGTACAAATGTATTTTTACAAATAAAATTATTCTGAAAAATATTTTATTTTTATGCATTTTTTGTTGTCATGTGTTGTAAAAAATATTTACTTTATATCTTTAAGGTTAAATGTAAATGTTCAACTACTATATCTTTTAATGTTTTTTTATAAAATGATGTACAAATCATAAAAAGATAATTACTAAATTTAGTAATACTTAAAAACAATCTTATTTTAAACATAAATTCAATAAATTACTAATGGTATACTATACAAAAATATACGTAATATTATAAGTCATTAAGAAACATATGTAATTGAAAATAAAATTTTAGTTATTATTTACACTTATACGAGAATTAAATATATTCTCATAAAAGTAACTATATTTATGTTTATGTATAACCGAAATTAGTAATAGGAGCATACTCTTAGTGCAAGGAAAAAGGAGAGGGGGAAACAGTTTATTTTTTTATGCATAATAGGTTTGATTAAAACTAAGAATTTCGAAAATGTCTATGGTAAGAAATTTAATTGTCTTTACTTATATGAAATTTCGTATTAAATTTTATCAACTTATTTTTATTATTGGAATAAATTAAGCGATTTTAATTAAAATCATTGCTTGACGTATTTTCTAACCTAATTTTTATATTAAAATAGTGAGAAAATAAAGAATTTGAAGATATTCACACATTAAATTCGAAATAATAAAAAAAGGATAAGTATAATCTAGAAAATAAAAAAATTAAATCATAAATATGATTTGTAATATGCATAAATGTATACATAATATATGATCAATATAACTCTATAAAAAAGTATATGTAGCATTCTTTATACTTCTGACTTAGAAAATGAAATAATTTTTATTTGTTATTGACGATAATGTATTTAAATAATATAATAAATTTATTTATAGCGACCTGATGATCATAGGCGAAAATGGAACAGAGAAGAGTACGAAAGAATAGCACTTCAGCGTCTCCAGGATGAAATTGCTGAAGAAGAATTAGGAATTCCAAAACAACCAGCAGTAAAAAGAGAGTTGCTCAAACAACGAGATTACAAAGTTGATCTTGAATCTAAATTAGGGAAAAGTGTTGTTATTAATAAAAATACTCCATCTTCGCAAACTGGAGGGTAAAAATAAAATTTACAAGATGTTTTGTGAAATTACAGAAATACAAGATAAAAACTAATAATTCACATAATAATGTTACACTTACAGGTACTATTGTAATGTTTGTGATTGTGTCGTCAAGGATTCAATTAACTTTTTAGATCATATTAATGGCACAAAACGTAATTTACTATAACTGTTATTTGTATGATTTTTGTATATTTTGCTTGGTACTAATTTACTTCACTTTCTTAGATCAACGTAATTTGGGTATGTCAATGAAAATTGAACGATCCACATTAGAACAGGTTAAAGCTCGCTTTGCAATGAATAAAAAAAAATTAGAAGAAAAAAAGAAAGACTATGATTTAGAGCAGAGAGTAAAAGAATTGAAGGAAGAGGTTTGTCTTACTATTTGTATATATTTTTTTAAAGAATATTTTATTTATTATTCTACTTTTTAATAAGATTACTTTTATTGTCTACAGGAAGAGAAGATTAAAGAGTATAGAAAAGAAAAGAGGAAAGACAAGAAAAGAAAAATTGAAGAAGTTAATGAGGATAGTGGTGGACCTTCAGATGAAATGGCAGCAATAATGGGTTTTTCTGGTTTTGGTTCCAAAAAAAAGTGACAATGAAATATTATCGGATTATTTGTTATAAAATGCCTTTTGATGATACATTTTAAAAAAAGAACATATTATTAATTTTTTGGAAAATGTTTCATTTGAGAATTGACATTGAACACTACAAGATCAGGGATAAATAAGACTGATCTTAATATAAAAATTTATCTTTGATATGAATATTTAAGTTTTCAACATAATTTAATTTATTCCCTCTTTCTTGTATGATCAATGTTCTGAATATACAGATAATTTTTATCCGTATTCAATAAAGGAAACAGTAATTAATTTCTTAAACACAATGAAAGTATGTTAATTTAGTGAAGGAACACAGTAAAAATACTATGAAAATTATATAAAGTAGCTTTGGCCTTATAAATTACTTATCATTAATGTACTTTAGATTTACTGCAATACTAAAATTAAGCTTTATGAAGTGTATTTACAGTTTTTCTGGACCAGCAATGTAACAAATATTATTTAAATAATGTTCTATGACTTGTCAATAAAAGTACAAGATTTTATACACAAAATTATTATGATTTTATAAAATTGCATTTAAAAGGATCAAAGAATGATATTCTGTGCAAAAAAATTCTTGATTTTTTGTACATCATTAAATTTTGTATACTTCATGTGTAATATTTTAATTTAAATATGTAACAGTAAAATTTACTCTTTGATTACGTCTGTTTACATAGAAACAAAAAAATAAATTCATCTTAAAAATAAATTTTATTTTTTATAAATATTAAACATTAGAAGTTAAGCAAATTTCACATTTGTTTAAAATTTTAGATGTAACAAAAGTCGTGATTGCTACTAAGATGTTACTTTGTTGTATCGCAATCATTCCTTCAACTTTCTCTCTTACACTTTCAATCTCTCGTTCCTTATCTTACTTTTGAAAAAGAGTAAGATATAATCTAAAGAAGAGTTCCATAGGATGTGTATTTATGTGTATATACGCATTCAGATACACGATCACGTATACTCACTCTTTCTTTCCTGAAGCCGCAGGAGAGAACGTATTGAGGATTGAAACCAAGTATATACGTTCCTCCTACCTAGAACTAAGCTCTGGGACCATTTACTTAGTTGATCTTAGCATCGTAGTTCAGTGTAGCCGAACACTCGTGGAGCGTTCACGAGTACCGCCATTTTTCCTAAGGTCAACTATTCGGAGTTCAGGAACTGGAAGTCACTATTTTGGATGTTTGGAAGTCGTTTCTTCGTGAGTTAGTTTGCACGTGATTTTTTATTGACTATGGTCAGTGCACGTGTGTCAGTGACATAAGTCAATTTGACATTTCGACATTTTATTTCTTTTATTTTTTACTGCCCGTAACATATGAATGAATGACAATTACAATTTTATTGTGCTCCATTAGTAATTAATATTGAAGAATTTAGTGTAATGTTATAACGTTCATATAACCTAACAAATTTGAAAATTTGTACTGCAAAAGCAATTGCGAACAACGAACTGAATTGCAAGAGTTTAAAAGAAAATGTGACGTTTGGCTATTTTCGTCGGAATGACAGAAACTAAGCGATCCTGTCAGAAGATTTATTATGTTACATTGCGAATGGACATCGATTAATTTGAATGCCTCCATGATAGATCTTACGAACGCGAGTGTTGGTGAACTGCTATTCCGTTATATCAAAAAGCAAGAAATTTGATTTAACAATGCCACGGACTCTTCAACCCATTCAGGAATGTAACTCCGGAAAGTCAAGTGAGTTTAAGAAACAAATATTTCATTAAATATTATTATAAAACTAAGATTTCATATAACGTGAATTTAAATTGAATTTATATTGTTTAGAAACGCAACGAGGTATATTAGCAATCACACTATAATAATAAAATATCGTAAAGATAATTAATTCGTAGGAAATTTCTACGAACATGCAATTCATATTAGGCTCATCATTATTTGTTGTTATTTCCATGAAATGAAAATCATCCTTTTCGGAACGTGTTTCAGCGGAAACAACACGTTACACGTGTTCGGTAAACTATGATTTCTTATTCTAAAACGACGCATACTTTCCCTTTTCTTTTCCACGGAAGTGAAAATGATCGGTCTAGAGTGAATTCTATCCATTATACGCCGTTTGCACGCTGCTATTTTCTCCGACTTTTGTTTTCAGAATTTCTGCTCACTCGTGCGAGATTGATCGCTACTATCGAACCAATGTACTGAAACGATTCATATATTGAGGCAAATTTCTCGTTTTTATATTGATATTTGCAAACAGATATTGATGATTTACTGATAAAGAATATTCTTTTTCTTTATTATATATGCAACAAGATGGTAAATATAGTAAGATAGTAAAACTTCTAATAATATATGAATTTAATGTATTTATAATATGACTAACGTTATATCATATTGTTTTTATATTATCGTATTGACAATATTATAATATCATAATAGTGATATCAATGCTACAGTTGATGCATAATGTTGATGATCTTAATGCTTGGCAATAGTGTTATTGTCGAGCTTAAAGTATTAAATGAAAAGCGAATCAAGAAAATGTAGAATTTTTCTTCAAATATAATTTATTGTAAAAAAAATATTTGTGTGTTATATAAGATATTAAGAAATAAAATTTTATAACTTTAAAGATTTATAATAGAATTTATAATAGAAATAAAAAATGCTGTATCAATATAAAATTTAAAATTAACTTCAAATATTAAATGCAAATGAAGAAATCGATTTGAAAATGTAGAAAATATATGAATCTGATAAAAATATTGTATTACAACAAAAATTGCTATTAATATTAACAAAAGATTATAATAATCCAAATTTTATTTTTGATAACATACAGCTATTTGAATATAACATCTCACATGCACGAATCATGAATTGGTGTATGTATATATTTTCAAATATTTTTGCCTTGTTCTACATTATTTGAGTTACATAAATTTTTCACTCATTGTTACAATTCACTATATTGTTTACTATGAACGAATAAATGAAGCTTATAATATATCTGCCTTGAAAGTTTCTTTATAAGAATAATATTTTATACTAATACTCTATTACAAATTTTATTAAACAAATATTTTAGTAAGAAGTATTTTTCATATTTTCTAATTATTCTCATTATTAACGTTATAAATAATTTATTACTTGCTCAATACGAATCATCAATTCATCTTTGGATCAAGCTTCATCGAGAAAGTAAACGTCGAAAGTCGCCGACAGGAGTTGTTAGATCGATTCTATTTAATGTACAACGTTATTTTAAAATGACGACAGTCATGTTCAGCTTTCTGAAAGTCTTTCGATGTACAGTTATTAAGATACGTATGTATAACGACATCTTTCAAATTTCGTACAACATTATCCTAGATTATTATAAATTTCTTCATGGCGAGTCAAATTAGAATGAAAAATTCGTTCCTCGTTGATTAATTTACCTTTAATCGTTGACCTTTCTTTCTTACATCTAGTAATATTCATTTTTCATAACGTTTTTATTCTCTTTCGTCATGCACTCGAACTTTATTCTCGCTGAAGTATGTTCGAAGAAAATATATCGTATCAATACTTCGAATTATACGTGCTCATTTTCAATCACTATTTTTTAAAACTGATAAAATATTTTAATAATCGAAATGCTAATAAATACTGCAAGTTATTCTTTTATTTTACCAGGATACAATTGAGGAAGAAAAATGACGAAAGAGAGAAATCTCGTGTTTAAAAAAGCTTTTGTTATCAAATAGAAAACGAGAATAATAATTACCGGGTTTAACAGAGCGGATCTATGTTCACCGTCACACTGTGATTTCAACGTGGACACATGACGCGATTAAATCATAATTTTAATTGAATTACATGCTTTTAATTTCGTACAACCTTACTTTGTAATTGCACCCTTTATAATTACACTATAATATCTCTTAATGGATCAGTATATAGTATATACTCGTTACCATATAACTTAAGAATCAAGAAATTATCATGGAAAAATTCTCGATTTCTGAACTGTAAGTACTTTGCGAAGAAACCATCGTACGTCGACTTACTGTCGAGCGTACTGTGACCTTCCAGGAGCCCAAGTATTGTGGAAGCGTTTACAAAATTTTGGGATATCCACATCCCTTCATATTTATCCATGATTATTGGCATGGTCCAAAAAATCATGCGAGATATAGCGCATGGTTCACAGGGTAGATGAAAAGGAAGGCGTACTAACCCACTATCCCATTACTGAAGCCAGGGAGTCCCATTGCTTAGGAAGGTGTGCACTGGCGGCACTTGGACCAAGAGGGGTTAGGGAGGGCACTTGGGAGGGCCGGTCAGGGGCTCTAGGGAGATTCTAGCGGGTCTAGATCGAGGGAACAAAACGGTATAACCCCTGCTAGGGCGTAGAGTAGTCAAAGTGCCACTTTCTACTCAGTACATAGGTCCCAGGAGGGTAAGAGAGGGCAATCACGGTGGGCCGCGAAGGAAAGGCAAGCCGCGAGATACCACGAGGGAGTCCCCGAAAGACCACGGTGATCTGAATATGTCAAACCGCGATAAAACGGCAATAAAAAATCTTACGATGATTTTTGAGGCATCTTTGTAAAGAGGAAACTTTCCCCTATAACGTATATTTAAAATAAATAGCAGAAAAAATTTATCGAGGTTCTTAAACTCGTTTAAATATATCGAAATTTTTAAAGACAAAAACTACTCTCAATTCTTTACTTTACTTTTTGAAATTCGGAAATTTTCGAGAACCTATTGTAAATGTACGTTAATGTAGTCGATGTGAACACAATCTGTATTAAAAATAAATAAATACATATATAACGTAAGTTATTAAGAATCGTAAATAAATAAGTAAATAAATGAAACGAATTATTAGAAATTTATAAACTAACTTATTAATAAAATTGATTTTCAGAAATTCAGAAACAACTTAAATATATATTTGAAATTTATAAAATACAGAAATAAGGGTGATATCAACTGAAAAATACTTTACCTCATTTTGTCTCACTGTGCGATGTTGCAACGACTGATCTCTCGATAGAACAAATCAAAAATTTGTTCTACTATGAAACCATTAGGTATTAATACAATGGAATGTAAGTTTCGATATTTGTGCCGGGTGAAATCGATGTCTGCTTAGTTTTCGAAATAACAGTACCTTGACATTGTAATATATAACTGGTAACTGTATTGCGAGTTTCAAGAATCGCTCGTCTCACAGGACTATGTTAGAATGCAGTTCTTTGAACTATTCTGCCGTCACAAGTCCTTTACGTTGACGTACTGTCGATGCGTTTTTATTACCATCTTGCTGCATCGAGAAATGACCGAGAATTAGTGAAAATCTGATATCGTGATAATAGAAGAAGAGATAAATAATAAATAAATTGATGATTTGTTACAAAATTTATATCAAAATTGTTTTCTTGCACACTCTACTCATCATCAAGATCGTCAAGCGTTCTAACATTTAATAATAATAAAGTTATTAAAGTTGAAATAAAGTTCGAAGTATGAAATAGTAATCCTAGTTAAATAGCAATTTCACATTTTTATACTCTTGGTTTTTCAGTTTGAAAATAAATAAAATAGACGATAAAAAATTAAATCGAATATTTTTGAATTATCCTTAATAAATGCTCCTGAAAGTCGCATAATCAGATAAATCAGAGTTGCGAAACGTAGCAATATCTTCTATTCTTTGATTTTGCAATTCTGTAATGTTTAATCTTCTAAACTTCGTCATCGTCATTACGTGGAAAGTTTTATACTTTTTTCCTCTTCAAAATGATTGGAAATAAAATTAATTATACCCGAATGAATTTTTCCTAGATTCATTTAGTTAGTTCTCGTGAAGCCACCTTTCTGTTAAATATGTTGCAATTTATCCGACATATTTTACAGTATATCCCCGTGATAAAACGTGACTTTCTACAAAGGCCAACGTTTATCAATTTTTTTAGCGGTATACTACTGTCCAGCTATTTATGAACAAGCATGCTTGCCTAAAGCGAAACGCGGAAGAATTTGCCGTTGGAACATCGGTATAGCCGGCCAGTGATCATCGAGCAGAATACTTCGACCTCTAACACCTGTTGAAGGCTCGTCTCTCGCTCTTTCTCTCTCTCTCTCTCTCTCTCTCTCTCTCTCTCTCTCTTTCTCTTTCTCCCCCTCTCTCTCAAGCAGCTTTGTTCATGAATGAAGGGTCTTGGAGTTTCAGCCACGGTTGTTCTAAACGTATGGTTCTCACGCGAAAAATCCATGTTTCCACTTTATGATAATCGGCATCCAGGATTAACGGTCTTTGCGATCCGCAATTTTCTGAAGACAACAGTTGGTTCTTTACACCGAAGAGACATTTGCATAGGTCGAAACTGCAACTGCAAAAATGTCGAATGTCAGAAATGTGGTAACCGTAACTAATTGTTCGACTTGATTGTAATTACAATATACGACTTATACCCATAACAATCCGTTAGATAAGCTAATGGTGTATGATTGCAGGTACACGAAAGTGGAATACGTACGAAGAAAGAAATAACGAGGAGATTGATTTGTAGAAATATACAGGGTGATTGGAAAGAAGTGTAAAATAAGTTATGGTTGTACAGTATATCGATACTACTTGAAATTATATTATATGTTTTCTAAAGTTAATCTAAAAATGGATTTATATTTTAAGAAGGAATTATGAAACAGTATTATAGAATAAATTTAATTTTACCGTATTAGCATAGAATTTCGTTATACTGTAATTATTTTCGGTTCACTATAAGGTATTTGTTTCACTTTGAAATCTTTCGTCAAATACAAATAATTAAGCTTCGGGTCTCCTGTGAAGTAAAAATATAGGTTTTATCTCACGCATTTGTCTGTATTAACATTAAATGTTACAACTCGTGCCATCGTATTACCTCAAATTTCCATTGCTCTTCTCTCTTATTGTACTTAACGAATGAATGGGTACCGCGGAACATCGGTGCTGCTCATTTTTGTGAACATTTCATTAGAGCAACGGCTTACCTGACGGATGTAAGGAACGATTCTCTTCAGATAATGGCGCGTAACCATGAGCTGCTCAATTAACCAGATATTGCGACAACGTAACACGTTTTGTGGAAAATCACCTAACCCAGATGATGGAAAAGGTAAAAGCTATTGCTTTTACGAAGGATGTGAAACCTTTTTCGTCATCCTGGTCACGAACGAGAGCCAGATCCATACGATCGACCTCCAGCCACCTCCACGACGACGAGACATTGTTTCTGGTAAAACTAAAGCCAAGAAACGACATTTACCTTTTGTGGTCGATCGGGTGCACTCGTCAAAGTAGAAGTTCCGAAATGATCGGAGATGGAACAAAAATCTAAAAGTGCCTACTAGTTACCATGTCTTGGGTGTCTTGATTCCATCGAGTTCAACGCGTAATCGCATTGGAGCTGTAAGAGATTGCCAAAGAATCGTGATTTAGATTTGCACTCCAAGGAAATATATATGATTTATGATTACGAAACTCCTTAATTCGTGATTCAAGTTTCAGTGGAACAGTGCAACCAAAGTTACCAAAAATTCCAAAGATAGTACTTCTGTTACACGGAAATCATAATTATTCGCAGATTGATCACTAGAGACTCGAGGCAGAATTATTTCGTGAATTAATAAATTCACGTTTCACATTTGCGGGTATATTCTGAATACTGACACGTTCGTGTCACACCTAAAAATATTTCGATCTTTATTGATCTTTTATCGTCGACGAGTCTTCGAATATGTCTGTCACGATCTGAGCGTGACATCCGGCGAACCTGATCACCTATATCGTAATCGAAACACCTGACCATGGTGGCTGAACTGACTGACATTCCCGTTGCAAACGCGGAACGAAATACATCAACAGCTGATTCGGAACAGCTTAGGTCCGCTGTTAAACCAAAGAACAGACCGAAGTGGATTCAAGCTGCTACTAGAGAGCCGATTTACAGTATTTTGGATAGCAACGAGGAGGTGATCGGTAATAACTTATCAACTAGTTTAAAAAGCAACGTGGTAGTGATAAGCGCTGTGAAAAGTGAAAAGACAAGGAAAAACGACGTAGAAGTAGCTCGAATCGAGCAGAGAGAGCTTCCTTATATTTGGCTGCCGACGGGAAGCAAATTAACGTCTCAAGACTCGACTATACTCGAAGTAGAAGATGAAGATCCACTCTATAGCGTGGTAAAAAAGCCTAAAAAGCTTCAGTTACCCGAAACGAGTTTTCTCGAGAGGAAGCTTCAACCGATCAAAGAACAATCATTGGAAGAAAGGCAAGCACAGATAGAGATTTGTTCGCGTCAAGAGGAGCTTCGCCGGTGGTTACAGGTCGCATCGAGACAGCTACCGGAACCACGACATCTCTTCAGTCTTGGAGAAATGTACACGAACCGCTTGGGGGAATTTGATCAGTTGCAAGCGGATTGGAAGAGGACCGTAGCGGTACCCCGAGGGATCGTTGGTCTGGTAGGACCTTACCGAGTTTATCAAAACCCGAATGAAAGAAGAGAGTACATGCTCCAGGAGGAGGAGCTGGTCGAGGAAGTGGTCGATTCGGTTAGTGAAATCGTCTCGCGCGAGAACAACGGGGCCACCGAACACCATCAAAGAGCTAAATGGCGGATAAGAGAAGACGACGAGGAGACTCTGGTGCCTGACATTCGGAATATTCCTGGTCTCGAAGGATTCGCTATGGAAGCGAACAACAAAGAGCTATCCGAGTGGAAGAAAGTTGATGATCAAACTACGATTGAGTACAGTAAAAACGATGAGACATCGAAGTCGAAGGAGGACGAATTTAAGGGAAATATCGGTGGAATCGTTTCTGGTAATGAGGAAAGAGCTGTGGACGTACCCGAGGAAGCCTCAACGGTTTCCACGTCTTCGATAAAGGAGAAAAGGGGTGAGAAATCCATCATCTTGTTCTGTTAATAGCGCCGTTTGTTCAGCGGTACTTTCTGCAGAGGGAAATCGCCGGATCTCGTCGGCGATCTGTTGAGTGAAAGATGCAACTGCGGTGAGATCATCCGACACGAAGGTTGCTCGAGTACAACGGTATAACACTTTGCTCGCGGCATGGTTTCATTTGTTAAGATGCGATGAATTTGTATGCAAGCCGTTCGTTAGTCGTCGTACGGTATCGTGTCGGCAGCCAAAAGAAACAGCTAGCGGTAGATACGACGTGAATTGCGCGTGTACACTCCTCCTCTCGATACGTGCGAGGTGTTTTTTATTAGTGATGTCTCCATTAGTCAATATTCTTGTCTTCGGACTTTTCAACACTGGTATCTAATTCGTATCACTAGTTAACGGTATTGCAACTAGTTGGCAGGTGTCCGATTGGATGCAGGTGTGGACAGCATTTAATGCTCGCATTGATTTCTTTGTAGTTTCTCTGTACTCTAAAATATATTCGTTAATACGAATACGAGGATAAGCATAAACGATTTATCATTAATAAATGATATACTCTCCTTTAATCTCTTTTCAGTTGATACATATCGCTCCATTTCGTCCATAATCGATCTTTTTTCTCATTCTTGTTTTCGTTTCTTGATTCCTGTGAATTTAAATTTGATAAAATATAAACGAACAAGGAATTAAGTAATGGCTTTTCTTGAATCGTTTTAATCAATTTTTTTTGTCCATTCACCCTTAAACAAACCGATCTTTGAAAATTGTTCTAATTGAGCGAAATGTGACCCATGGCGAAGTTTCCATTTTGATCAATCAACCATTCTCACTGCTATAGGATACGGTACTGTGGAACACTTTATGTTTTAACTGACGTATAATTATCACGTATAATCCACCTGCGCTATGGCACGTCAGTGATGACTCACGCTTGCATAGCCAGCTTTTCAACCGCTACAGGAACTTTTCAAATTAGCCTGCTAGGGAACCTATTAACCTCAACTTGCCAGTTATGCGGCGAGATATTTTCCTGCCGTTGGTTAAGGATTGAACTCGAATGATGTCGCGTTTCAATGTTCCCCCTCGGAATACCAGTCATCGAGTTTTCACCATGACGAGGATTCGAGTATACGTCGGACAGCTCTCATGAATCTTACAGTTCCATTACTTTTTATCGCTGTTTGCGGTAATGAATAGATGGTTGCTGCAACTTTCGCTGTTTTTGTGCCTCTTGTGCCATGCTTCCCACCCCATCATCGTTGTGTGCGCAATCAGTACCATAGATCTTTGGTTCTGCAATTTCACGAATTTTTACTAATACAGTGGATACTTACCTGTCTTTTCAATACCTTTTTGTAACTTTCCTTTTGGATCTCATCTGTTTTCCTTCTGCATCCAGTGCTGTCTCAAGTTTTGAAGACTTCAGTGTAGATCTCAACGTAACACTGTCTTTCCTACAAAAAAAATTTATTTCGTTTCATTCCAAGACGAGTGTCTTTTATAGATTTTCATTTAATGTTAGACTTAAGCAGAATTATACGTGGTAAAAAATTTCTGTATCTTTTTACTCATGATAGGATATTATCGAAATTATTCGACTTTTCTCTCAGTCAGACTTTCTTCATTGAATGATAATTTCTCGAGATAGGGTAACAGGTGCCGTTTCAACGAGAGAATGAGTCAATTTATAAGCTTTTGATATAATGATATTAAATTATCGAATAACTTTTTCTTCCAGAATACTCTGCCAGTCACGCGATATCGTATCGACTTTCTTTCATTTGTACTTAAAGAAATATGATATTTACGCGCGTCGAAGGAATGATTTTAGAAAACATATTTCAGTTCATCTGAAACGCGTGAAAGGTATTCGCGAAAGGAGTTTATATTTAAAAATTTTCATTCAGTGATCTAGATCGAAAATCGCGGGCAATCTTAAGTAATACACAAACGCGTCTGTGTCGTTTACCGTTAATGACGTAAAACTGAATGACCAGTGCGCGTTTCGTTTTATAGAAAAGAAAGTGGAGAGACCTCCATCGGCTTTTGTATGGAACCTTGACAACACGTGCGATCCTGAGATACGTTTTATCTCTGATGACCCTTTACTTTCTCGTTTCACTTCGTTTCGATGACGCTATCGGTAAAATCATTAATCACGAAAGTTATTCCGATTTGTCCAACATATGGCGCCACTATCATTGATCCTCTGACAGCTTTGTCGCTTGTTATACATTGCTGTGTTACTATGATTAGGCGATGCATCAGTGGAAGTTGCTCCTTTATCCTGGTAACTTTTGCAACCGGCTTCTTTAGTACAGTTATCCACTTTTGCTCGTGGATAATGGTCACCTACTCCTTTCGAGTGTTAGAACAGAATAATTGCATTTGCACGTGAGAGTTTGTAAAGAAGCTTCTTATGGATAAAAGTGTCATCACTTTAGAAACGTTCATGGGAAAGAATGGAAATAAATTCTTGACTTGAGTTTTTTGTGTTATCGATACTCCGTTTAATCGAAATTGCTGCACGAAACTTAATGCCTGCACTGCTTTACGTAATATTTCACGTGGATATACGTGAATATCGAATACCAATAAACTTCTAGATCAACGTTCTTTTTTATCGAAGTTATATAAATTTTTTGAATCGCTAGAATTATATATAAATTCCACAATTTTTAAACCGAGTTTGGTAAGATAAAATACGCGTGATATTTTATTTTTGACTTTTTATCTAGAGGATAACGATGTATTAACGATGCTTGTATACATGAATTTGATCTGTGTTAGGTAGGTGATCGATAAAGGTGAATTTCTACTATAGCACCGGTAATGTTCCTCTTTTATGAAATTAGGGGTTTGAAAATTGCATTGTTTAGTTTATCAGTGAAACCGAATATTCATGAGTTATTCAATGTATAATTTCTATATTGCGTGTGAAATTCTTTAGGAGATTCTTTATGACTATTAAACTCAGCTGTTTACGAGACTTTGGAATATAAATCACGGTACTCATTGTTCATACATGGGTAACTTACTTATTATTCATACAGTTGATTTTTTTCTTTTTTGGAGAAAACATAGTAGTTACTTTAATAGATTTCGAAACTGTGAAAAGAGGTACATTTTCGTTTAAAGATTTGAATCGAGAAAAAGATATGTTGACATTTATGATAGTAAATTCATTCTTTTAGTAAATGGCAAGCGAAGATTATAATTAATTTATCTCGTCCTAAATAAGCAAAGAAAAAGCGAAGAAATATGATTTTAAGATATTCATTATGTATCTCCTGTTTTACCGAAGTAATGTCTTTCTCAATCTTCTGCAAATGCCTATTTAAATTATACTCTGCAAGAAAAGAATTTTACTTTACAATACCCATTAAATTGGTTACTTAAAGTTATTGAATATGACGAAGGAACGCCTTTTACCGTTCGAGAATATCGCAAGATCGTTCTAACTTCGCTAACGTATCGCCTAGTATAACGTTGCATACCGTTCTCAAGGTGTTATAAATGCCGTATGGTTTTCGCGATGAACAGAGATAAGTTTTCGCAGATAAGTTTATTGATAGCTATTAAAGAAATGGAAAAAATCAATCGCTTATATTACATAAAGCGAGTAACGTGTATTTTCTAACCGTTAATTGTCCTTTAAAACGTGATTAAACGCTTGATACTCAACACTCTGCACACTATGAATACCGTATAAAACTTTTTTCGAGTCTCCTGTAGCATCGTTGTAGTGTCATGCAATACATGATTCTGCTAGTTGCATGTTATTTCATCTCTGCCATACACACAGGGTAGGTTTACAAAAAGGTTAATACCGTTAATTCTTTTTGTAAAGAATGTCAAGATGCATCGACTGATGTAATAAAAAATATATGAACCTATTTTGAAAAATATCGATGACCTTCAGATGTCATCTACACGTACACACATAAGAAAACTGATACCACTAAAATGTGGTCCCCTCGAAATCATTCAAATCCGTGTCAAACATTTTTCGCTACGAGTAATAATAAAGACGTAAACCTAAAGGAGAATTTACTGATCCACCTTGTATGTTTCAAATCCATTAAGTTGCTGTAGAAATTTCATATTTTAATATTAAAATATTTTTTATCTATTTAGATTTATGTTTATATTTCAATTATTTCAGTTAAACATACTTACAATAAGTTCAAACGTGCTATATCATTCGACAAGTTGATATTTTTAATGTTACAATGTACAAGTGCACGTGATAGCGGGATCGTGCGCTTGTTCATACTGCATCATTAAAAATAACATAAAATTGCCAACCGCATGGCACCATCAGTACGAAATCGCAATCTAATGTAAAATCTAATATAGAAATTTAATCTTTCATTCAGTAATGAATTTAAGCATTTCTTACAAATATAAGTACAGTTTGTTACTTTATTATACATGACAGTACAGTGATATCAATGTAATACAGTACAGTGATATTTATAATACTTAAATCGATAGAAAAAATATTTAAGCATTTTTTATCAAAATTGAAGTTAAATTCCCGCGTAAAATATATTTCCATGGATTTCTAAAGAATGTTTCAAACTCAATGATTTTAACATACAGAAATATCTCAAGAACCAATAACATTTCTTTCAAATAAACCGCAGGCCACGACGAACCGAATGCGTTCCAAGTTTCAACACACGCACGGAAGTTGCGGATATCGTGAAAGCGGGGAAAAAAACGAGGTGAAAGGTATCCATGGAAAATACCCTTTCTCATGGAGCAGCGTAATTTTTCGCTTCGAAATCGCATTAAAATGCTCGTTCCCTGACCAACCACAAATCGACATGCGTACACACGATGAGCGCCAATCGTGTGAAAGCAGATTGGTGACATTGTGAGGAGCTGCAAACGAATGGCAGCCGATTTGAGTACGTCATTTTCTTCATTCAAACTTTCATGAATTTTTATCCTGCAAATGAAGACGGAGAAAGATCGCTTTCG